GGCCGTCGAGCTCGACGTGTGCGCCGCAGCTCGGGCTTCGTGACCGGCACCTCCACCACGTCGCTGTCGGTGGACTCCTCACCCGCCGACTGCTCCCCTTCGTCGTCGACATCATCGTCGTCGGCCAGCTGCTTCGACCCTTCGACCGGCTGCTCGCCTGCCGTTGACTTCGACAGCTCCCCTGTCGACCGCCCCGGCTGCTGCTCCCCTGTCGACTGCACCGCTGCTGCTGCCTCCTGTTCGACCGGCTCCCCTGTCTGCTGCTCCCCTTTCGTCGACGGCTTCCCATCCTGGTCGACGAGCTTGGCGCCTTGTCGACCGTCGGCGATGCCACTTGCCGGCGCCACAGGCGACGCCTTAAGGCTCCCCTCATCGCCAGTGGCTGACACAGGCGTCGACGCAGGCCGATCTGCGACGAGGGAGGGAGGAGCAAGAGCAGGGGAGGGGGAAGAACCTCCACAACATCCTCATCAGCAGGCTCGTCGACCTCGGCGAGCAGCGGAACCGTCGTCGTCGAGGTGTCCGTCGGCGGATGTGCCTGCGTCCGCCCCGACGCCGGCCCATACTTCATCTTCCACACCTCCAGCGACAGCGTCTCGTAGAAGATCACCTCGACCGACGTAACCACCTTGTTGTCGGTCAGGTCGAGCACCTCCCAGCCCTTGCTCTCCGGCGACACACCCAGGTGAATCCCCCAACGAGCCTTCGGCGCCAGCTTCCCACCGCGCTGCTGCTCGGGAATCGTGAACTGCACCATGTAGCCCCACACCCGCGCCAGCGTGAGGTCGGGCTTCTTCCCGGTGAGCAGCTGGTACGGAGTCGTCCCCGGCGGCATCGTCGACCGCTCCAAGCAGTTGCGCACCCAGACAGCTTGTCGAAGAGCGAGGTGCCACCAGTAGTGCTGCACGCCCATATGCAGCAGCATCGTCCGCACGGACTCGACGACCGTGCGCATCTCCCGCTCAGCCATGCCGTTCTGCTGCGGAGTGTAGGGGCACGTCAGGTCGTGGACGATGCCCTTCCCGTCGACGAAGTCGGTGAACGCCTTCCCGAGGAACTCCCCTCCTCGGTCTGAGCGAAGCAATAGCACTGACTTCTTCGTCTGCCGTTCCACCAGCACCAACCACTTCTGGAACTCCCGCAGCACATCGCTCTTCTTGGCGACCAGCATTGTCCACACGAACCGAGTGTGGCGATCCTTCAGCAGCAGGAAGTACAAGCTGCCATCCTTGGGAGCCACCCGAAATGGCCCGCACAAGTCAATGTGCACGACAGCCAGTGCCTCCTCGGCGTCCGAGCCCTTGGCGGGGAAGGTGTGCCGCGCCAGCTTTCCTCCCACGCACGAGACACACGGCGGGTCTGCTCCGGTCGACGGCGTGATGTCGAGCCCAGTAGCAACCTCATGCTTCGCCGAGCTCTTGATCGTGTCGACGCCGACGTGCGCGAGCCTCGCATGCAGCCGGTCAGGGGTCGACTTCGTCGCCGAGACGATCGCCCGCAGAGCCACCACCTCGGTCGACGGCGACCCGGCCTCCCCTTGCAGAGCGACGGTTCCGCGGCCCTCGACAGGCTGCAGCGCCCCGTTGAATCCACGTACGTGCTTCACACCGTCGCTCGGCGCCATGTCGACGAAGACCGCCTTCGTCCCCATCAGGTGGTGGGAGCAACCGCTGTCGAGCAGCACAGCCATCGGGTTTGCCTGCACAGCTGCCGCCACCGCCTGGAAGTCCTCGCCAGCCTCCGGCGCCAGCGACACTGTCGGCTCCACCACGCCGACCATCGAGCACGACGCCTCCCCGTCGCCTCGGCCCTTGCCGCTGGAGCTGTCGACGTCCTTCGTCGACGACGTCTTCTTCGACGTCTGCTTCTCCTTGCACGGCTGTGTATCTCGAGGGGGCGACGGCTGGTCGACCGGCCACGGCCGCCCTTGGTGTCGTCCTCGTCGTTGTCGTCGCGGTCGAGGCATTCATAGGAAAGGTGGTCGGGGTCGTGGCAGATCCAGCACTCCCGCAGTCGACCACCACCTCCACGGCCCTTGTCCCGCGTCGACCTCATCTCGTCGACGTCCTTCGTCGACCGCCCACCTCCGCTACCACCTCCGCCCGGCTTCCCGCGCTGCCCTTGCTGCTGATTCAGCTTCATCGGTGCAGCGTAGTTGGCCTGCGGAAGGAGCTCCGTGGGCTGTTCGGCCTCCTGCATCGCCTCGTCTTGAAGGATGTAGCTGGTGATGGAGTCCTCGTCGAGGGACTCATGCGTGCCGGGCACCGTCATCGTCCTCTTCATGAGGTTGTAGCCGCGCGGCAGGCCCTTGACGATGTGGGTGACGTAGGACGCCGTCGAGTATTCGGCGCCCGCCATCCGCATCTCAGCCAGGATCCGTCGAGCACGGTTGCAGTAGTCCGTCTCCGACTCCTGCTCGCCCATCTGAATGTGTGTCATCTTCTCCTCCAGCTGTCCGATGTACATGTCGTCCCTGACCTGGTACGTCGACAGGATGAAGTGCCATGCCTGGTGACCGGTTTCCAGTCGCTCTCGACAGCTCCTGAGCGCTAGCTGCACCACCGGCGAGCAGCACCGCGAGATGACCATGAAGGTGAGCAAGTGAGCAACACGAAACTCTCCGGGCAGCTCGACATCGTCCACAGGCGGAATTGGCACAGTGCCATCGGCAAAGCCCTTCAGCCCGGCGACCTCCAGCTGAGGCTCTATCGACTCCCTCCAGGTGATGAGGTCCCGTCGACCTTGCAGCGGTGCGATGGTGATTCGGTCCGACGAGAACTTGAAGTAGCCATACGCCGGTGCAATCCCGCCCACCGTCACATGCGTCGTCGCCGAGAGCCCTCCACCGCTTCGTAGAGGAGAGCGACGTCGAACATCGACGTCGGCACGCGAGCTGCCTGCAGCCGCCGTCGACCGCTGCACTCGCGCCTGATTCCTGTCGACGCCACCGTCGACCTTGATCACCCCTCTCTGCTTCGTGCCATCGTTGCCGCTGACTCGTGCACTGCCGTCGACCTCGTCGTCGACGCCACCTTCGTTCCGCACCGGTCGAGGAGATACAGGACGGGAAGGGTGCTCCGTCGCCCACTGCGCCCGGATGCCCAACTCAGCAATCGCCCAAGGGATCGACCCGTGCTCGCCATCCTCATGGCGTTTCCTCGCATCAGCCAAACGTGCCTCCGCTACACCCGCTTTTATAACGGGGTCGACCATGGCGACTAACGCTGCTGCCGGCCTACGAACGACTTAGTAGGTGCAAAATTCGGCTCCTATCTGAAGGTAATCTGCGGGGCCGTCCACGCTCACCGCACCATGCGGAGAGTCACTCGACAAAGGTGGTGAGCTAGACTACGGGGGGGTAGGCACGAACAACTAAGAGTGATCGTAGCTCTGCTTGCGTTCCTTAGCACTTGCACATTCACGGGAGAAGTTGGCAAGAATTTCACTAGCAAAGTTGGAATTACAGAATTGTTGAATAAGCAATGGCAACAAGGACTACATCAGGCACCTAGCAACCCTGCAGCTAGTCTGGTCGACCGCCAGCACTGCATGGTCGACCGCCTGCCAGCGTTGCGTAGAGGAGCCGCGCCAGCACTGCAGAAAGGCGACCTGCCAAAACTGCAGGTCGACGGCGTGCCAACGCTGCAGCAGAGCGATTGTCCAGCGTTGCCCCGTAGAAGACAGCAGTGCGCACGCTCGCAGGTGCGCGCAGACGATTGGCCCGACTTGCCTCGTTGGACATCCGTCGGCTGTTGTCTGCGCCTGACGAGCCACATCGACTTCGGGATACCAGCCCGAAGTCGCCTTCGCCATCGCGACCCCGACGACGTTCGCGTGCCTCCGCAGAACTCGTCGAGCAGGTTACCCGGTCGACCTGGTCGACCACCAAGTGCTCTGGTCGACCACCACTGCCTCTGGTCGACCACCAGGTGCCTCTGGTCGACCACCAGGTGCCTCTGGTCGACCACAGCTCCTGTCGAGCTACCCCCTGGTCGACGGACCCCTCCCGTCGACTAAAACCGTCAGCGGTTGTCGCCGAGTTCCCCTCGTCGACCGCTGCTCACTTGTCAGGTCGACGGACTGCTCCGTCGACCTCCCGGTCGAACTGCAAGTCGACGGGCTGCTCCGTTGACCTCCCGGTCGAACTGCATTTCGACGGGCTGCTCCGTTTACCTCCCGGTCGAACTGCACCTCCTGGTCGACGGCCCACCCGTCGCCCAGACCAGTCAGTTGCAGCTGTCGAGCTCCCTGGTCAACAGCAACACCACAGCGGTCCCCTGCAGCTCGACGAAGCCTGTCGAGCAGCTCTCCCACTGTGAACGGTCGGCTGCTACTCCTGTACATCCGACCAAGTCGTCGGCGTTGCCCAAGCGAGGGCGGGGCCAACACTCCACTCCCGTTAACAGTAATTGGGGTGGTTTAGGGTGTCTTATAATTCTTATAAATGGACAAAGAACCGTTTAGAAAATACCCCTTTGTTATAGATTACCCCTAACCCTTACATAGGCTTAACTTGTACACCCCTACAGGTGTCTAATAATCAGGAACACCCATTTATAACATACACCCGTTTTAAAGACACCCCCTGTCTTCAATTCGACACTGTCTTATATCCGGGCGTTTACGGTACTTGCAAGACTAGAGAGTACAATCCAGTCAAAGCCATTGGGTTGCAACTAGGGTTGCGAGAGGCAACAGCCATATTTAGCTATGAGCTAATTGAATAAGGTCACATAGGAAAACATTGCATTGCACGCAAAAGGCACTAAATATCTACACTCCAGTGGTTTTTTCAATAACCATGAGGCACCAGTTACCGTTCAACAAAACCATCAATAAATACGGTAAAAGGCATAGTGAACCCCCGGCTCAGCAGGAGCCATGCTCCTTGAGAGCACAGCTGTTTCACAACAGGCGCGGCCAGCCACCACCCACGGCCACGGAGCAGCAGAGGTCAACAACACAATGTCTTGCCACCAAAACAGCACGCAGCAGCTCCTCTAGATGTCATACACCTGCACGGATGCCAGCAGCTCGTCCTGCTCTTTCACAGCAGGCGCTGCCACGGCCACGGAGCGACAGAGCTTGACGGCGTCGGCGGGAGTGACGAAGAGCCACTGCTCTCCCATCTCGGCTAGAAAGTTGGCGTCCCACAGCTTGCGGAGGACGTCCCTTGATGCACTGGATAGGCACAGCTGCAGAGGGGTTGAAAGGGGTGGGAGGGGTTTCAAGGGGTTCACAAAGAGCCACTGCTTGCCCATCTCGGCTAGAAAGTTGGCATCCCACAGCTTGCGCAGCACGTCCCTTGATGCACTGAATAGGCAGAGCTGCAGGATGAAGGGAGGGAACGGGGGGGGGGGGGGGGGGGGGGGGGGGGGGGGGGGTTGGGTTGAAGACAGGGGTTTGAAGCGGGTGACGAAGAGCCACTGCTCGCCCATCTCGGCTAGAAATTTGGCGTCCCACAGCTTGCTGAGGACGTCCCTTGATGCACTGGATAGGCAGAGCTTGAGGAGGGACGAAGGGAGGGGGTGGGGGTTGGGTTGAAATGGATGAGAAGTGGTGGGAAGGGATTGCGGTGGGTGACAAAGAGCCACTGCTCGCCCATCTCGGCTAGAAAGTTGGCGTCCCACAGCTTGCGCAGCACATCCCTTGATGCACTGGATAGGCAGAGGTGCAGGAGGGAGCGGGGGGAGATGGGGGTGAGGTGCGGTGAGAGTGGGTGAGATGATGGAGGGAGAAGGTAAGAGCCACTGCTCGCCCATCTACGTCAGCCCACAGCCCATTCCCCACTTGAAAGGCCTTTTCTGAAAGATCTTGGTGCCGCTCCTCCAGACCAACGCTTTTATGGCCGCCAATGTTCACCATCACGCCATCACCTTCGCCCCTCACTCCCACCCCTCAACCCGCGTACCTGAATGCTCTTCTCAGACAGTCGGTGCAGCTCCTTCAGCCCATCACGCTACATTGCACGCCCCTTAACACATTATCCCTTACCCTTGGCCATTGTACCTATCCGTACCTGAATGCTCTTCTCAGACAGGTCTCGGTGCAGCTCCTTCAGCCCATCAATCCCTGATACATCAATGTCGTGCATGACACTCAGATCCAGGATGCAGTGCTGTTGGTGGGGGAATGCAGTGGTGCAACGCGGTGGGAGGAGGGAGAGGGATTAAGCGTGGTGCAATGCGATGCCCGACACGTCAATGTCGTGCATGACACTCAGATCCAGGATGCAGTGCTGCGGAGTGGGGAGGAGGAGAGGGAGGCGAGGGAGGAAATGGAGAGGAGAGGGGGGAGAGAGAGGAAATGGAGAGGAGAGGGAGGAGAGAGAGGAGATGGAGAGGAGAGGAAAAGGAGTTGGCAAGAGGTAAAATGGGATGGGTGACACGTCAATGTCGTGCATTGCGCTCAGATCTAGGATGCAAAGCTGCGGGGTAGGGTGGTCAGGGAGAAAAGAGTGCGAGGAGAAATCAGCCCAACAAACCCCCTATCTCCCCAACCCCCCACTCTCATTAATTTCCCCCCAAGCCCCTTGTTTAGCAGCAAAATTAGTGGACTCACTCACCCGCACGGGTTGCTGGTAGCCCCTCGCATACGCGTCACACAGCTTCTTGATGCGCTGCCGGCAGAAATTCGCGGCCGGGAAGTAGAGCGGGCTCTCGATCCTGAGCATCACGATCCCCTCGCACAGCGTGCTGTTGGGGAACTGTAGCACGCTCACGGCTGTAGCGGCGCCGCCCGGGAGCAGGCCCAGCAGGCGGATGTGCGGGCGGACGATGCGCAGGAGGAGCTTGAGGAGGGAGAGCACGCAGGCGACTAGCAGGCCGATCTCGGGCGAGCCGAAGATGATCCCGAGGAAGCAGCCGAGCATGACCATGAAGTCCAGCTTGTCCACCCGCCAGATCGTAAATGCTGCCTTGAAGTCGAGCTGATGGGGGGGAAGAACGGAGAAAGGGTTTAGGTCAATAGGGGGAAGAGGTGTTGGGAGCAGCCGAGCATGACCATGAAGTCGAGTTTGTCAACACGCCATATCGTAAACGCCGCCTTGAAGTCGAGCTGAGAAGGGGGAAAGAACATGTGAATGAGGAAATAAAGAGACACGGGAATAAGGGGTAGAGTGTTGGGAGCAGGCGAGCATGACCATGAAGTCCAGCTAGTCTACCCTCCAGATCGTAAACGCTGCCTTGAAGTCCAGCTGAGAACGGGAGAGCGGGGGGGGGACAGGTGGGAGGGGAAACAAGGGGACAAGGGTTGTTGGGAGCAGGCGAGCATGACCATGAAGTCCAGTTTGTCCACCCGCCAGATCGTAAACGCTGCTTTGAAGTCGAGCTGAGAGGGGAAGAGAGGAGGGGCGGGGGATGGTTGGGATGGGATGGGACAAGGGTGTAAGTGAACGAGATAAGCAGGGATTGAGAAAGTAAGTGGAAGAGGTGATGAGGAGCAGCGGAGCATGACTATGCCCAGTCAAGTAAGTCTAGCTTGTCCATCCGCCACACCAGATCTGAAACGCCGCCTTGAAGTCGAGCTGAGAGGGAAAGGCAGGAGGGATGAAGGGTGTGACGGGTGGGAGGGGATAAGGGACGAAGGGAAACAAGGAATCAGGGAATAAGAGGATGCAGAGGGGCAATGCAATGCTGGGGAAGACGCCGAGGGAGCAAGGCGATAGGGGGGAACAGATGATGGTGTGAGCAAGTGGGAGCAACTGATTGAGGCACACGTTGGGGTATGTGAGTGAGAAGAAACGAGGGAGGAGGGAAGAGGGAGAATCAGGAAGGAGGGGAGAAGGAGAGGAACAAGGAGGGAGATAGAGAGGAGGGAGACAGGGAGGAGGGAGATAGGGAGGAGGGCGACAGGGAGGAGGGAGACAGGGAGGAGGGAGATAGGGAGGAGGGCGATAGGGAGGAGGGAGATAGGGAGGAGGGAGATAGGGAGAAGGGCAATAGGGAGGAGGGCGATAGGGGGAGGGCAGTACCAGGTTAAGCACTGAGTTGGCGATGACAGCTCTAACCACACACTCCGTCGTCACTCACGGTTGGAAGGGCAGCAGCAGTGCTAGAGAAAACGCTTCAGCAAGAAAGAAAGAGAGTAAAAGAGTACCCTAGCTAAGAGAACTCTGATCGCAAGAACAAGAGGGGAGGGAGGTAGGGAGGAGGGCGGTACCAGGTTAAGCACCGAGTTGGCGATGACTGCTCCCACCACACACTGCAGAGGGGGAGAGAGAGGGAGGTGGGGGAGGAGAGTGAGAGAAAGAGGAGGAGGAAGGGGAGAAGGGGGGGCATGGGGAGAAGGGAACAGGGAAGAGGGACCTATTGAGTGATGTGGGTGCATAATGATATGGAAGGGAGCGATGTAGGTGTGAGAGGGTGCGAGGCTCGCACAAGAGGCAAGGCAGGGCACAGGAGGCACACGGGAGGAGGAAGGCGGGGGGAGTGGGGTATACACCCGGAGCGTATTGGAAGGTAAGTGAAAGTAAAAAGCAGGAAGCGGAGGTAAAGTGGAAGCGGAGGTAAAGTGGGAGCGGAGGTAAAGTGGAAGCGGAGGTAAAGTGGGAGCGGAGGTAAAGTGGAAGAGGAGGTAAAGTGGGAGCGGAGGTAAAGTGGAAGCGGAGGTAAAGTGGGAGCGGAGGTAAAGTGGGAGCGGAGGTAAAGTGGAAGCGGAGGTAAAGTGGGAGCGGAGGTAAAGTGGGAGCGGGCACACTGGACGGAGGGGAAACTTGCACTAGGCATGGATTGGACGGCAAAAGGAGGGGGGAACTTGCAATATGCACACGGATTGGACAGTAAAAGGAGGGGGGAGAATGAGGGGCCGTACAGCGGGCACGTATTTGAAGGCGGGAGCAGCAACAAGCAGCACGATAAGCATGGTGAAGGAGAGGATGATCTGTGTCAGCGCCGTGTGCGCCCCCGCCAGGATGTTCACCGCCGTGCGGGAGAAGGAGCCTGGCGGAGTGGAAGGGGGGAGGGGTTTGAGGAAAGGGGTGCGGCAGGTTGGTTTGGTTGGAAGTATGCAGGGCGGCAGGGATGATGAGAAGACGGGGTTGCAGGAGGTGAGTTGATTGATTCTTGAACGTTTCGCAAAAGCAGACTGGAGGGCATGGGGAGAGAGCGAGGAATAGAGGATGGGAAAGAGGGGAAGGGGCAGGGCTCAGAGGGAATGGAGCAGGGGAGATGGGGCAGGGGGAATGGAGCAGGGGAGATGGGGCAGGGGGAATGGAGCAGGGGAGATGGGGCAGGGGGAATGGAGCAGGGGAGATGGGGCAGGGGGAATGGAGCAGGGGAGATGGGGCAGGGGGAATGGAGCAGGGGAGATGGGGCAGGGGGAATGGAGCAGGGGAGATGGGGCAGGGGGAATGGAGCAGGGAAGATGGGGCAGGGGGAATGGAGCAGGGGAGATGGGGCAGGGGGAATGGAGCAGGGGAGATGGGGCAGGGGGAATGGAGCAGGGGAGATGGGGCAGGGGGAATGGAGCAGGGGAGATGGGGCAGGGGGAATGGAGCAGGGGAGATGGGGCAGGGGGAATGGAGCAGGGGAGATGGGGCAGGGGGAATGGAGCAGGGGAGATGGGGCAGGGGGAATGGAGCAGGAGAGACGGGGCAGGGGGAATGGAGCAGGGGAGATGGGGCAGGGGGAATGGAGCAGGGAAGATGGGGCAGGGGGAATGGAGCAGGGGAGATGGGGCAGGGGGAATGGAGCAGGGGAGATGGGGCAGGGGGAATGGAGCAGGAGAGACGGGGCAGGGGGAATGGAGCAGGGGAGATGGGGCAGGGGGAATGGAGCAGGGAAGATGGGGCAGGGGGAATGGAGCAGGGAAGATGGGGCAGGGGGAATGGAGCAGGGGAGATGGGGCAGGGGGAATGGAGCAGGGGAGATGGGGCAGGGGGAATGGAGCAGGGGAGATGGGGCAGGGGGAATGGAGCAGGGGAGATGGGGCAGGGGGAACGGAGCAGGGACGATGGGGCAGGGGGAATGGAGCAGGGAAGATGGGGCAGGGGGAATGGAGCAGGGGAGATGGGGCAGGGGGAATGGAGCAGGAGAGACGGGGCAGGGGGAATGGAGCAGGGGAGATGGGGCAGGGGGAATGGAGCAGGGAAGATGGGGCAGGGGGAATGGAGCAGGGAAGATGGGGCAGGGGGAATGGAGCAGGGGAGATGGGGCAGGGGGAATGGAGCAGGGGAGATGGGGCAGGGGGAATGGAGCAGGGGAGATGGGGCAGGGGGAATGGAGCAGGGGAGATGGGGCAGGGGGAACGGAGCAGGGACGATGGGGCAGGGGGAATGGAGCAGGGAAGATGGGGCAGGGGGAATGGAGCAGGGGAGATGGGGCAGGGGGAATGGAGCAGGGGAGATGGGGCAGGGGGAATGGAGCAGGGGAGATGGGGCAGGGGGAATGGAGCAGGGGAGATGGGGCAGGGGGAATGGAGCAGGGGAGATGGGGCAGGGGGAATGGAGCAGGGGAGATGGGGCAGGGGGAACGGAGCAGGGGAGATGGGGCAGGGGGAATGGAGCAGGGGAGATGGGGCAGGGGGAATGGGCCAGGAGGAATGGGGCAGGGGGGAATGGGGCAGGGAGGATGGGGCAGGGGGGATGGGGCAAGGGGGATGGAGCAGGAGAGATGGGGCGACAGAAAGGGAACTAGTTCAGGATGTGATGACCGACAGAGGGGCTGCCGCTGCTTGAGAGCAGTTGCGAAAGTACAGGGTGCTGCAGAGCTCACTGTGGTGTGGTGCGGTGCAGTGCGGCTACAGGCTGGAGTGCACTGACGTGTGTGGGACCTACGGGGCACAGGCACAGTGCCCACCACATGTCACCGCATTGGACCGCAGCGTACCTGTGGCGACATAGCAAGAGGTGAAGGAGCCTGAGAGGTTCATGGCTCCGTAGGCTATGAGCTGCAGGCGAGGCGGTGAGGGGGGGAGAGGACGTGAGCGGGGGGAGAGGCGGTGAGGGGCGGAGAGGACCAGATGTGAAGGAAGAAACGGATGCCTGGAAGTAAGGACCGGAAAGAGAAGAGAGGGAGCCTGCCTGATTGATAAGATGAGTGCGGCTGGGAGGGCGAGTGGTTGAGAGAGGGAGTGGCTGAGAGGGGAGTTTGGTTGGAGGGTGAGTGTGGTAACCAGCTCACCTCTTTGTTACCATCGATGTGGTAACCATACATGCCCGCAAATGTGCGCCCTATGCCAATCGATTCCTACACAAGAAAAGAAAAGGAATTACGAATATAAAGACAGCAAATAAAATAGGAAAAAAATGGAGAACTGGAGTAAGGAAGCTGCGATAAAGAGAGAAAACAGGCGGCAAACAGATGCTCTTTCTCAGAATTGTCACAATAAACCAACAACTCAAACTACGAAAGCAGCAAGGAGTACAGGAACACTGAGGGCGGACAGACAGAAAGATATAGTACGACGGCTAAGAGCCCCTAATTTGACCAAAGCGATGCGTTTGCAAAATTGTGACACACAAGAGCAGGGCAGGGCGGAGTGGGGGAACAGGGGAAGGGGTGGCGGGAGAGTTTGGGGAAGAAGGGGGAGGGGGGGGGGTTTGGGGGGTGGAGGGGGAGATTAAAGGGGGAAAGAGGAGGTGGGTGGAGGAGCAGGGAAGAAGAGGGTAGGAAGGGAGGGTGGTTAGTTACTCACAGCGAGGGAGACGAGGGCGGCGTAGAGTGCAATGAGGGCGACCTCGTCAGTGTACTCGTTGTGCAGATCAATGTCCCACACCGATGACATGCCCCCCAGGCCCGTCTGTATGCTGCCCACCTGTGTGGAAGCACATTGGGGGAGGTGGGGAAGGGATGATGGGGAAGAGGGAAGAGGGGAGGGGAGGGGAGGGGAGGGGAAGGGAGGGCGATGAGTGAGGGCGACCTCATCAGTGTACTCGTTGTGCAGATCAATGTCCCACACCGATGACATGCCTCCCAGACCTGTGGTTATGCTGCCCACCTGTGTGGAAAATAGGCACACAATGGCAGGGAGCAGGGAAGGGAATGGACGAGGGAAGGGGAGGGGAGGGGAAGGGGAGGGGAGGGGAAGGGAGGGCGATGAGTGAGTGCGACCTCATCGGTGTACTCGCTGTGCAGATCAATGTCCCACACCGATGACATGCCTCCCAGGCCGGTTTGGATGCTGCCCACCTGTTCATGTGAAGAGGGGAGAGTAGGGGAGAGTAGGGGAGATCAATGTCCCACACCGATGACATGCCTCCCAGCCCCGTCTGTATGCTGCCCACCTGTGTTCGTGCAAGCGCAGGGGGTGAGTGAGAGGCAGTGGGGGAGAGGGGGGGAAAGAGGGGGGAGTGGGATGAGAGGGGTCGCACCGATGACATTGCCGCCTAGGCCCGTCTGTATGCTGGCCACCTGCGTGTGTGAAAGGGCAGGGCAGGGTGGGGAATGGATGAGGGGGAAGACACAAGGGGAGTGGAACGAGAGTGGATGGGTCACACAGATGACATGCGAGCTAACCGCGCCCTTATGCTGCCCCCCTGCATGCATGAAAGCAAGCATGTGAGGTCATGTGGAGGAATGGAACGGGGGGAGTTAGGGGGGATCATGAGGGAGGGAACGGGGGAGGGAGGAGGAAAAGAAAAAGTGGAACGGACGACTGGGAATGTGATTGTCTGTATGCATGGGTGCATGCGTGGGTGCATGCGTGTGTGAGTGCACAACCTTGAAGCGCACACTCACCGTGGCTACACCCTTGTTGTACACGCCGGAGGCGCCCACGATAATAGTGGAGAGGATTATAGAGGAGATGGGGCCCAGCGCGTTGGCGTAGAAGAGGGTCTTGCTCTTTGGGTACATCTTCGTCTGGTGGGCGGCATTGCATGGCGTGGCATGGCATAAAATGGGATGGGATGGATGGCATGTCATGGAGTGAAATTGCATGGGATGGCATGGCATGCATGGCATGTCATGGAATGGCGTGGCATGGCAAGGCATGGAATGGCGTGGCATGGCATGGCATGCATATAAAGAATTGGTTCTTGCTCTTTGTCTACATATTAGTCTGCCAGCATGTTATAGATTTGAATGTTCATGGCTTATTCTACTGATGTCCATACCATAAATATTAGATATACATGGTATTCATCCAATCATGCCATGGCGATATGTTCATAGCCCTTTTTCAGCATGCCTGTCCCTTCCTGCCACAGGTGCCACGCATGCCACGCCACGACACAAACCATGCGGGTCGGGCTTTCAGAGGGATGGAGTGGGATACCGAGCGATATGGGGGATGGGAAAATAAGGGGTCGAGGCATGTGACTTACGAGAATGCGGAGGATGGTGAGTGCGATGAAGAAGGAAGAGCCGAGGACGAAGGCACGCCATTGGAACTGCACCATGCACACGCAGGGGGCGGATGACACGTGGGGGGAGGGGGGTGAGCACATGGGGGGGTGGATGTGTGCATGGGGGGGTGGATGTGTGCATGGGGGGGTGGACGTGTGCATGGGGGGACGCATGAGCACATGGGGGGACGGATGAGCACATGGGAGGCCGGTAGAGGAGGATTGGGGCATGCGAAAAGGAAGCACGCGGGGGAGCAAATAGAGGCGGGATGGTCAGGAAGCACTGCACAGCACCGAGCAGCACCGCCAAGGATCAAAAATACGACCGTTTTTTTGCCTTTTTACCGTATTATACGGTATCGTATTAAACGGTCGTTTTAAACGGTAAAATACGGTTAATTTGTGTTTTTCTGTTTCGATTAAAAATACGGTTGTTTTAAACGACCGATTTTTTGAAACCATGAAACACTATAGTGAGATTGTCAATTTGTCCCCCATACAATCTCAGGGTGAAATTGCGCACGAATTTATCGTGGCAGAATCAATTTCGGCCCGGGTCGCGAATTCCACCACACATTCGAGTCGCGACATTACGATGGCGAAACCAGGGATTACCTGTTTCGCTACAGCGAAATTTGTTTCGTCGAAGCGCAACGAGAATGTTATACCGAGTCGCGACATTTCAACATTTGGCGAACGGTTGAAACTAGTTCACCCGTTTCGCTATGCCCGTTTCGAAATCTCGCGCCCAATAGGTATTTTTCGCCCAAATCCTACACAAACCCCAACCTTCACGCGGCGCATCCAAGCCAGCCAATCGCCTTACATTTCCTCAACTCATCCCTCTCACACAATTCTCTCGACACAGCAAACACCAAAGCCCTAGCTAAGTACTAATAGAAGCACCATTCACTCACTTCAGCACTACATCTCTCAAATCTTCTCACCTCTCGTTTAGAGCAGGCATTCAGACGCCATGGTTCGACCGAAGTCGCCACTATGGGTTCATGTTGTGACGGAGGGTTCATCGAAGGACGGAAACCTCACTGCGAAATGCAAACATTGTGGTGAAACCGTGACTGCCAACGCGACGCGCATAGGCGAGCATGTCTTCGGGACGCCAGAGACGAAGAAGGATAAGAACGTGACTCCCTGCAATTCTGATGTCGCAAAGAAGCTTCGCGAAGAAGCAGAGGAACAGGCACGCTCATCATTCGGTGGGTCAAACCGAGCCTCCACATCTACTACGGTTGAGATAGTTGCCCCTCGTCGCGCTAGGCAGCGCGACATCCGCGACATGGCGGATACGACTGCGCGCACTCGTCTGGACTACCTCTGGGCCGCGGCTGTTGCGGAGAACGATTGGGCCTTCCAGTCGTCGAAGTCGAGGGCGGTGCAGGAATTTGTTGATGCGGCTCTCGCCTTCGCGAAGCCATACACCCTCCCGTCCCCCTACAAGGTTGGAGGCCCGCTTCTGCTGAAATTACGGGCGGATACGGAGGAGCTAGCGAAGCCGATGATGGAGAGTTGGCTCAAGCGCGGCTGCACCCTGACGTGCGACGGATGGACTTGTTTGAAAAGCCGAGGGCTTGTTTGCGTTATCGCCCTCAACGACACGGCTCCGGTGATTGTGGAAACAATTGACTCGAAAACCGCCAAGAAAACAGGCGGGTATCTTGCCAAGCTCCTCCGCAACGCCATTGTCAAGGTGGGGGACAAGACTGTCGTCCAGGTTGTCATGGACAACGCGTCTAATAATCGAAAGGCGGCAGACATTTTGCGCGACGAATACCCGGGCATCTTCTTCAACAACTGCGCCGCGCATGTACTCGACCTCATGCTTCACGACTTCGGGAAAATTCGTGCGGTGAAGCGGGTCATTAGCCAGGTGAACCGCGTGGTCATGATGGTGAAGGCAAGCGCCTCCGCCGTCACCCTCTTCCATGAGGTCTTTAACGAGCTTGCATTGGTGCGGCCTGGTGCAACGCGGTTTGGCACGAACGTCATCATGCTCGCCCGATTCCTCGAAGTAAAGAAGTCGCTGCGGCAGATGGTCATAAGTGAGGAGTGGGAGGACATTGCGGTGGCAAAGCAGCCGGAGGGGAAGGCGGTCCGACACCTCCTCTTGGATGAGGTGTTTTGGGATTGCGCAACCGCGGTGCTCCGCATCATGCAGCCCGTGTATGACGTCCTTCGGGTCGTCGACACGCGGGCTCTAGTCATGGGGCAAGTGTATGGCCTCATGCTAGAGGCCACGGTGAAGACCAACGAGGCGGCCCAGGCTGGAGGTAAGACATACATTTCCTAGCATGAACGCCATTGAGAGTCGTGATTGCATGCATACCCCATTCCTGCCCATACTTACCGCCCGTTATCGTGTTTGTACTTCCCATTGACAGCCACCATGTTTGTCAAGCGCACAGAATTGCTGCTGGCAAAGGACAAGCCCGCATTCCTGGCGGAAATCAAGGCTATCCTAGCCAAGAGGTGGGACAAACAGATGCATAACCCACTGCACGCTCTCGGGTGGCTCCTCAACCCCCGCAATCAGTACGTGGGGGAAGTGCGGGAGGATGAGGAGGTGAGGACTGGGGCGGAGGCGGTCATCCAAGCACGGGTGAAGGATGTCGCCCAGCGCACCCTCATCCAGGCGCAGTTGGCTCAGTTCCACAAGGACGAGGGGCGGTTGGGGTCCCCCGACGCACGGTGGGCTGCTAAGGTTTTGGTGGAGGGGGGGCGCCTGACGGATGCTGAATGGTGGTGGATGTACGGCGGGGAGGTGAAGGCGCTGCAGTCGCTGGCAGTGATGAACCTGTCACAGCCGGTAACGTCATCCGAGGTGGAGCGTTACTGGTCCGCGATTGCTCGTGTGCAACGGCGTGACTGTAACCGCATCTCCGCCAAGAAGATGACGGACGTGACCTATGTCGCGTTCACGAGGAGGGCTCGGGCCACCTTTGACAGAAAGCAGAAGGTGAGGGAGAAGCTCTACGCCGATCTGACCAACGGTGCCCTCAAGGAAGGGTGTGTCGTCGCTCCGGCAGAGGAAGAGGCGGAGGAAGAGGGGGATGCTGAGGAGGAGGGAGAGGTGAATGTGGGATGCACCGTTGACTGGGAGCATTTCGGGCAGATTGGCAAGAAGAAGAAGAGGGTGGGTGAGAGCACCAAAAGGAAGAGGAAGGGCAAGGCGACCAAGCCTTGCAAAGGTAAGGGGAGGTCAGCGGCTGCGCGTGAGGATGAGGAGGAGGAGGCGGCGGACAGCAGTGGGGACGAGGAGGAGGAGGCGGCGGACAGCAGTGGCAATGTGGAAGAGCATGTGCCCACCACCAGGAGGACTCGGGGGGGCGAGGATCCGTGGGACATTAGTGATGGATCGAGCGGGGAAGAATCGGAGGAGGAGGATGACGAGGGGGAGGAGGGGGATGATGAGTAGTGGAGGATATTAGTGGTGGTAATACGTAGGGGTAGTGGAAAGAAGTTGGGAAGGGGAGTATTAGTGGTGGGGGGGGAGGGGAGGGGATGATCTGTAGACTGTAGTAGTAGTGGGAGCTGATATCTATTGTTTTTTAGGCTAATGTGCACCCTCCATACCCGGCTGAAATCGTTTCAAGGATTTCGCAAAAAAGAAAAAACTGGAAAAAAACCTTTAATAAAAAAACGCCGTATTTTACCAAAAACTGCCGTAAAATACCATCGTATTAAACGGACCGTATAATACGACTTCCGTATTTTTCATCCTTGAGCACCGCACACCATCACATAGCACCCACCTCATAAGAGTATTCAACAACAGCCTTGAAGATGTTGACAATGCTGGTGCTGAGCGTGAAGTCCTTGTACCCCAGAATGGGCTTCAGCTGCTGCAGCGCGATGGTGAGGGAGCAACCCGCTAGGAACCCCGCGATGGTGGGCTGGCTCAGTAGGTCGACCAGGAACCCCATTCTGTGGGGGGGGGGGGGGGGGGGAGTGAGGGCGGGTGCGGAGCAGGGGAGAGGGGAGCAAGGGAGGACAAGCAGGAGCTTCAGCTGCTGCAGTGCGATGGCGAGGGAACACCCCGCCAGAAACCCCGCGATGGTGGGCTGGCTTAGTAGGTCGACCAGGAACCCCATTCTGTGGGAAAGAGACGGGAGAGCGGGGGAACCGCAAGGGAGGGCGGGGAACGGCAAGGGAGGGCGGGGAACGGCAAGGGAGGGCGAGCAGCACCTTGAGCTGCTGCAGTGCGATGGTGAGGTCCCGCCAGGAACCCAGCAATGGTGGGCTGGCTCAGCAGGTCGACCAAGAACCCCATTCTGTGGAGGGGAGAAGGGAGGTCGACCAAAGACACCAATCCCCTCCTTCCCCCTCCCGCCCCCATTTCCCACATGCGCACCCCCATTTCCCCCGTTCTCATTCCCCATGTCCCACTTTCCCATCTCGCATTCTCCAATCCCCTTTTCCCACCTAAAAAGCCCAGATCCCGCCTGTCCGCACCCCCCGTTTCGCCCACCTGAGCAGTCCCATGGCGAGTTGGAAGAGGCCGCAGAGGAAGGTGGTGGTGGTGAGCATGGAGTTGTAGAGGGCGGGGTCCGTGTTGGGGTCCACCTGCGCGCTCAGCTGCTCGCCCAGCAGCTGCGACACCACCGACACCGGCCCGATCACCATGTGCTTCGACGACCCCAGGCTCGCGTACATCAACGGTGGCAGGAAACTCGTGTCTGGACGGGGAAGACGAGGGAAGTGAGAGGGGTTGTGAGCGGTGGAAGGTGGTTATTGAGGCGATGAAAAGTCACCACCGACACCGGCCCTATCACCATGTGCTTTGACGACCCTAGGATCGCGTACATCAACGGTGGCAGGAAACTCGTGTCTGGACGGGGAAGACGAGGGAAGTGAGAGCGGTTGGGAGCGGTGGAAGGTGGCTATTGAGGCGCTGTAAAGATACCACCGACACCGGCCCGATCACCATGTGCTTCGACGACCCTAGGATCGCGTACATCAACGGCGGCAGGAAACTCGTGTCTGCACGCACGGGGAGACGCGGGAGGTGGGAGCGGTTGGGAGCGGTTGGGGGCGGTGGAAGGGGATTTTTCAGGCGCCTAAGCAATAACACTGACACTGGCCGGCCCAATCAGCATGTGCTGAGATGAACAAGCACCGTCGCGTACAACAGCGGCGGCAGGAACCTCGTGCTTGGACGGAGAGAGCGATTGAGAGCGGTGGAAGCGAGCTCGAGAAAACAGGGAGGTGAGAGCGGTTGAACACGGTCAGGGGGCGGTTGGGAACGAGGAAGGTGAAAGCTGTTACGAACCGTGGACGGTGGTTGGGGAAAGGAGGTGACGGTGCGAAAAGCAAGGCAAGAATTGCATGAAAGGGCTACGCAATTGAAAGCAGAGGGGTTAGAACGGTGAGGTGAGGGAAGGAAAAGAGAGGACTGGGACAACAATTGAGGGCGAGGCGAGCGCGACTTACAGAGAGCAAACTCCTTGGGCGCGTTGGCGTACCTAGCGTACGATACATCCTGGCGATTGGCGGTGGGGAGGAAGGGCACGAGGGGGACATGGGAAAGGGAGGGCGGGATGATGCGGAGGGGGGGCAAGACAATGTGACAGACTAAGGGGTTGGCGTGACGACAAGGGTAGGTCAAACTCCGAGAGGGATTCTACGATGCTTTATGGCTGATTGAAGAGCTGTAGGGGCTGATTTGTACTTGGACAAACGTGCTGGTTACTGTTGGATAACGGCGGTCCTACACGAAAAGAAGCATCCTTGAAGTGAAATCGTACTGCGGCTAGCATTGCGTTGACGCCGCACCCGCGCGACCAACATCACGCCATTGTCTCACCTGCGGCACGGACGTGGAGTCGAAGCCTCACCTGCGGCACGGGGATGGAGTTGAAGCCTCACCTGCGGCACGGACCTGGCATCAGCGTCTCACCTGCGGCACGGACATGATGGCGATGGAGAGCCCTCCGATGATGTCGCCGAGCAGATAGAACCGTAGATCGTATTTCGGCAGCCATGACAGAATCGGAAACACTCCCACTAGGAATATCCAAATCTTCTCCTTCCACGTCTTATCGCGAAACTGCTGTACCGGGTCGGCTTCCGGGAACAGCACCCATTTGAGCGGCATCAGCGACTCGGAGAGCTCGTCTCGTAGAGTCACATCCGGCATTGGCACATTCATGCCTTCCACGTCAGTAGGCTCGGGCTCTACCCGAGCCGGAAGGCCCTGGAAGTCCGACATCGGGCCGCCTTGCCATTCCACGTCTTCCCCCTGCCATCCCCCGCCTCCGCCTCCGCCTCCCCCCCCTCCGCGGTCGCTCCCCGCTTCCCCATCGGCGACTGGGTAGCTTCCAGAATTGGGGTTGGTTTCAGGATTGTCGTCTTCAGGTTTCAGTGGTATTGGAAAATCAAATCCTAAGTTATCGTCCATGGGTGGCATTTGAGTAAATAATCAAAAAGACTCTGTTGAGGAGTGACTGAATGATACTATTTCGCAAACTCCTTCCGTACGGTAAGCGACAGTTGGCACGAGAGGGGCTACCCAACGTGAAGACGTGAAAAATGTCAAATTTTCTCCTCGGGTTGACAGTGCCTAGCTCTAGTTTTGTTCAAGTATGTTAACAACCGCACCAAAGTTGACAACTAACACAATCGAGAAATACCAGAGGCGCGTCATAAATAACGAACGCAAACATGGGAAGAAACCTATTGCAAATGAGGTAGGTAGGTCTAAACTGAACTTGACTGGCTCTATCTGTTTACGGTAATGGCGGCGGTGGTTGGAGGGAAACAGAGCACGAGGGGGACAATTTCGAGGGAAGGTGAAGAGGGGCTTGGAGAAGGTCGGGCAGGTTCTCTCGGCATTTTCTAATCACGTAATGCTTCACTCCAACTGCATTTTACACCTGCGCGCGTTGACAGGCAGCAACAACAAACGCACTGTTTTTCGGAACATGGTTCATGTCTTGCTGACGAGGACTGCCAACCAACAAGGAGGGCCCGCCCCCACTTCTCCCCACCTCCTACTGAATTGACTTGATCTCGATTCAGTGTTCGGTGGTACAATGCAAAACGGTAAATTGTACAGGTCAAGGTCCCAAATTGCATAAAAAATAACTGACTTCAAGAGCCTACTGTCACCTTATCTGCTCCAACAATGTATGAAAACAGTCCTTTGGCGTTTCCCCTCACAGCACTCCACGCAGCTCCCAGTCGTTTCTGGTTATTCCTTTGCCACGCCACATCCCGTTTATCATTCGCCACCATGAAGTCAGTCTTTTCCGTATCTTGCACACTTGTTGCTTGGTCTAAATGTGAATCACCCTTAGCATTTCCATCCTCACCAACAGCAGGCCCCGTTGCAAGCGACTCTTCCCTGTCGTTTCCAGAGCCAGAAGCAGGAGTTACCGCTGCAGGAGCAGAAGCAGAGAGAGCTTGAGACGCAGCAGGTGTGTCATCCTCGCTTCTGTCCCCTCCAGAACAAGAACCGGCAGTCACAGCGCCTGGCGTCCCTTGCTGGCCCTGAGTCATTTGCATGGATCTCTGCTGCTGCCCTTCCCTCTCCTTCTCTTGCTGCTGGTCCAGTGCACGTTCACCACCAATGCTGCCACTCCCACCACTGCTGCCCCTCGCTGCTGACTCTTCCCCTTCCCCTCCTTCCCCTGCTCCTCCTTCCCCCCCACCACCTCTCACTCGCACCCCGTCACTACCCTGCCAGCCACGCGTGTGCTGCCTATCACTCTCCCATGCTGCCATCCCTCCCTCTGTCCGCTCAACACCATCCCTCCCCTGCTGCTGCACTGAATCCCGTCCAGAATCTGCTCCTGGGCTGTGGTCTCTGAGTGCTTCAGCGCTGCTGCTGGTATCGAGAACACGGGCAGCAGCAGCTGCAGGATCAATAGGGCCGGAAGGGACACTGCCAGCACTAGAATCCGTTCTGGACAGCTCTGCTGGTGGCGCGGTGGGGGGTGCAGCAGCAGCAGCAGCAGCAGCAGCAGCAGCGGCAGCGGCGGCGGCGGCAGCGGCAGGAGCAGGGGCAGCAGCAGCAGGCTTGCTCGAGAAGAATGCAAAGAAAGAGGTGTGCTGATTTTCACCAAGCGAAGATGCTGTATGTGACTGTAGTGAAGGGGGCTGTTCTGTGGGGAAGCACGACACCGGAACAGGCCCGTCGTCCCCATCCTCCTCGCCTGCTTCCCCTCCACTGCCCTCACTCCCACCACCATTTCCGCCAACTGCCCTCTCATCCATCCCTCCCCCACCCGCCCTCCTGCTGCTCCCACGGCCATCCCTTGCGCCATGCTCCTCCCCTACCCCGCTTCGTGCTGCTTCCATCCCCTCTGTCAGCCCCTTCTCTTGCTGCTTGCGGCCCTCCTGCTGCCTCGATCCTTCCCTATCTCCCTCTCCCTCTCCCTCTCCTTCTCTCGCATCTTCCTCTCCCTCTATCCCATCATCAGCCCCTCCCACGTCCCCCACGTGCCTCCGCAGTGCGAGCACCTCAGCAGCCAGCTCCCCCGTGCGCCTCTCCATGTCCCGCTGCCGCTGCTGCAGCGCCTCGTTGCCCTCCACCAATTCCGAGTTCAGGTCGATCAGCCGCTCTATCACCTGCTTGTGGGGGGAGGAAGATAGGGAGGGGGGGAGCGGGGAGAGGATGGGGGAGGAAAGTATGGTTGATACTTAAGGCGCCTGCAGTGATCGGCTGCTGCAGCGCCTCGTTGCCCTCCACCAATTCCGAGTTCAGGTCGATCAGCCGCTCTATCACCTGCTTGTGGGGGGAGGGGGGCGTGGGGGGATGAGGGGTGAGAGGATGGGGGAGGAAAGTGTGGTTGTTAACACTTGAGGCGCCTCAGTGATTGTCTGTTGCAGCGCCTCACTGCCCTCCACCAGCTCCGAGTTCAGGTCTATTAGCCGCTCTATCACCTGCTTGCAGGGGAAGGGAGGGAGGAGGAGGGGGGGAGGAAGGTGTGGGTAACGTGTACTGTAGTATGATGAGGTATGAGTCATCTCCCCCCCACGCCTCTCCATCTCCCTCAGTGATCATCTGCTGCAGCACCGTTGCATTCCACCAGCTCCGAGTTCAGGTCTATCAGCCGCTCTATCACCTGCTTGCCAGGGGACGGAGAGGGGGAAAAGCGGAGGAGGAGGGGAGAAGTGTGATGTGTTGTAATTACATGTCAGAAGTCCAGATGTATCGACCAGTCCCATCATCATCACAACCATCACCATCATCACCACCCTCACCATCATCACCATCCCCATCACCATCACCATCACCATCACCATCATTCTCACCTTCTCCTGCCGCTGCAGGTTGACCTCGAGAGCCTCATCCTCCCACCGCACGCCAGCCAGCGCGTGCCATACATCCATCATCATCCCATCACCATCACCATCACCATCATACCACCACAATCCCAATCTTCCTCACCTTCCCCTGTCGTTGCAGGTTGACCTCGAGAGCCTCATTCTCTCTCCGCACACCCGCCAGTGCCTGCAACGCGCTGTCCTTCTCCTTCCGACACTCCTCACACTGCCGCATCAAAGCTTTTGTCACTTCCGCCTGCCATTACATCGCCATCCGCACAAGCATGCACATGTGTGGTGAGGATGGATGGTCATGCCACACCATACCACACCACACACAAAAATACAGCCCCAAAAGACGAGAAAATTTGTAAATATCTTCTGCGTTTTGAGAAAGGGAGGAAAAGGCAGCCATAACTGAAGAGAAGGTGCAATGCAACCAAGCAGGCATCATGGACGGTAGCAGCAAAATGAAAGGATACTAAAACTCATACATCTTGACTTTGTCCTACCTTCTCCTTGTCCGCCTGGTCTCTGCTCCGCAGCTCCCTCTGCGCCTGCTTCGTCCCCATCAGCGCCTCGTTACGCTCCCTCACCGCCTCCTGCCAAAACGCGTGGATCTCCCTGCGGTGAGGAGGGGGGTGGTGGTGGCAGAGCATGGGCGGCAGTGATGAGAATGTTTTAGGCACCTCAAGAACCGTTTCGCTCCCTCACCGCCTCCTGCCAGAACGCGTGGATCTCCCTGGGAATGGGGAGGGCCGTGGTGGTGGCAGAGCATGGGGGTAGGAGGGATGAGAAACAGGACCAGACAACGGGTGGAGATCCAGGCGACGGATGGAGGGGAATGGAGAAAAATGGAGAGAAGTGAGAAGGGGGGTGGTGGTGGCCTAGGATGGGCAGCAGGGATGAGAAACAGGACCAGAACACGGGTGGAGATCCAGGCGAAGAATGAAGGGGAATGGAGAGAAATGGAGGGAGACGGAACGGAATGGAGGAAAATGGAAGAGAATGGAGGGGAATGGAAGAGAATGGAGGGGAATTGAGAAAAAAGGAGGGAAATGGAAGAGAATGGAGGAGAATGTCAGGGGGGGCTTGAAGCATGGGAGAAAAAAAGCAGGGGCTCATGGCACGAGAAAGGCTTGAAGTGAGCGACAAAATAGATAATATATACACAAATAAAAGAGCTTTAAAGGAGTGGTCCAGGAGCATGACGAGGAGGGTGGTGTCAGTGCGGTTCGTTCCATACATGGCTGCTCTGTCCCGCCGTATTATCTCCTGCTGCTGCTGACTGAGCCGCGTCTGCAGATGCACCTCCCTCAGCCTCGCCTGCCTCTCCGCCTGCTCCCTCACTCTCTCCCCCCCCAACTTCCTCTCCTCCTCCACTCTCTCCGCCACCTTTCGTCTCTCCTCCTCCAGTCTCTCCCCCTCCCTCCGCCTCTCCTCCTCCGCGCGCTGGACTGCCCCCTCTGCCGCCCTCACTCGCTCCTCCCACGCCCGGGCCTGCGCGGGGGAGAGGGGGAAGGGGAAAAGGGGAAGGGGGAACGGGGAGAGGGGACGAGGGGAAAGGCTGAAAGGGAAACGCTTAATGGGAACTTACTTCTCAACCTTTTCAAAACCAATATTACCACCCACTCACCCACCCTCCTCCTTCCCCTCTCCTCCCCCCCCCCTCCCCCCCCCCCTCCCACCCCCCCAACTTCCCCTCCCCCTCCCTCTCCTCCCCTCCCGCACCTCCGTGGCGCGCGTCTCCTGCAGCTGCGCCAACTGCGCGTCGGCCGCCGCCTTTTCGTTCTCCAGCAGGGTTATGTACTGCGCGGCGCGGCTCTGCCACTCCTCCAGCTGCCGCAGCGCCACCACCGCGGCCGACCACTCCCCGTGGCACGCGCACGCGCAACCCGCCGTCGCTGACGCCGGCAGCGGGGCTACCGCGGAATCTCCCATAGGGGATGGCGGAAAAAGAACGATTCGCGCGAACTGGATAACGAGAGGTGAATGTGGCCTTAAGAAATATTAGTCCTAGTGGCGGATCGCGTGGAAGTATCTGATAGAATTCTGCTTGGCTGAACAATACACGGAACAGCGATGACTAGAAATCTACCCTTTCATGAACAGGCTGGTGGAAAGACGTCACGTGTAACGGCGAAGAACAGGGTAAGTGAGAGGCTGGTCTCATTGGGATATGGTGGTGTCGTGGTGTCGTCGCAAAAAACAGCTTTCAACGCAGTCCAAATATCGTCTGGTAGGATATGGCGGTTTAGTTTAAGGTGATGAATCGCCTCGGTATTGCGGGACGACGAAGACGCTCGTTCACAATTTCCCATCACGTGACTAGCAAGCCATCGCATGGCTAGCGATATATGAATGACTGGGAAACGGCGATTGATACTTTTGATACGTGTCACAGCTGCAGGCAACGGATAGAGCAGAACGAGCCACCAGAACTTGGAGCACGAGCAAGACTGATGTGAATGACCATGACGTGGAATGGGACTGGTCACTGGACTAGGTACGATAGGTGTGAAAGGCAAGCTTTGTTTTGAGCTCACGCACGCGCTGACACCAGCTGAGCTGACGCGCTGTGCTTCCTGCTGCGCGCTCGTTTGACTGGCTGGGCTCGCTGGCAGGCGCGCGGGGGTTGAGATGGGCGGAAAGGGGAGGCGGGAAGCTGCGAAGTGGGGGGGATTGTCGGGGCAGAATCGAGGGGGAAGTCAACCGCGGAGAATTGGAGGACGCAGAGCTCGAGGGAGGTGTTGCTGATTCGGCTGATCCGTTGAGAATACATTCTGTACATATATCTGCTATATTGCTATTCCAATCATATTCCTAATACCGTATGATGCAAGGACCAGTGCTATGGTGGACGTACATAATATCCTAGGTCGGCCTGCTGAACGAAACTCAACAAGAGCTGTCAGCTGAGGAACAAGGGTCTCATGAAACATTCATGGTGCTGCGGGTTGGCTCGTATGGAACAATATGTACACGGGGAGGGGATGCAAAAACGCCTAGTAGTGCATCGCACAAATGCATATACCCTCCCATATTCATCTATCCTACAGTTTGGCGGTGTCATGCATCCACCTCCTCTCTAAACAGCTCATCCAGTTACCTACCCTCCCATAATCTCGTCCCTTCCCCCACGTCCTCAACCATGCACATGCAATTCTAGAGCAGTGCCACACACGCCACCCTGCCTCGCCCTCCGCTCACCACTTACCCACATCACCATCCACATCCTCCTCTTCATCCCCCCATATCTCCTTGTACTTGTGCACAGCAACACTGTTGGCATGAGGAAAGACACGCACATTGGCATCCTCCTCCTCCTCCTCGTCCTCTTCCTCCTCTTCCGATTCCTCCACTTCATCTACCTCATCTCTATCTCTATTCCTCTGCCTGGCAACAGCTAGACTGTTTGAATGTGGGAACACACGAACCCTTGCTTCTTCCGATGTCCCCACGTCCTCCTCCTCGTCCTCCTCCTCCTCATCCTCCTCCTCGTCCTCCTCTTCCTCCACCTCCTCTCTCCCTCTATTCCCCACTCCATTCCGCTGCCTCGCAACAGCTAGACTGTTTGAATGAGGAAACACACGAACCTTCGGAGTGTCCTCTGCACCCTCTTCCTCCTCTTCTTCATTCTCCACCTCTTCCTCCTCTTCTTCATTCTCCACCTCTTCCTCCTCCTCCTCCTTCTCCCATATCTGTCTGTATCTGTGCACAGCAACACTATTGGCATGTGGAAACACACGCACCTCTGCTTCCTCCTCTGCCTCTTCAGCCATATCCTCTCCCGGTTCCTCCTCCTCTTTCTCCTCTGTCTCCTCCTCCTCCTCCTCCACTTTCCCCTCATCCTCCTCCCATATCTGCCTGAATTTGTGCACAGCAACGCTATTGGCATGTGGAAACACACGAACCTCTCCCTCCTCCTCTCTCTCCTCCTCCTCCTCATCTTCGTCCTCCCATTCCTCCTCGTCCCATATCCGGTGACACTTCTGCACGGAAATGCTGTCCGAATGGGGGAAAACCCGCACCACCACACTCCCCGTGTCCTCCTCTTCCTCCTCCTCATCTTCCCCCTCCTTCTCGTCTTCATCCTGCCTCCCCTGAATCTCCCCCTCCTGTCTCCTCTTGCACAGCGACACACTATCCAGGTGAACAAGCCTTCTCACTGCCACCTCCTCTTCCTCCTCCCCCTCCTCTTCCTCTTCCTCTTCCTCTTCCTCTCCTTTCTCCACCTCCCTTCCCATCACTAACTCATACACTCCCCCGTGCACCCCTCTCTCTCCCCCTATTGCCGCCCCACTCATTCTCCCCCCACTGGTCCCCCCTCCCTGACTATGCGCCACACCCCTCCCCATACCACCTGCTCTGCTCCCCACCCTTCCATCTTGAGCTGTGTGATGTGTTCTTCCCCGCCCCGCATCTCCCCCCACACCTCCCCCCACACCTCCCCCCTCACCTCCCCCCTCACCTCTCCCCACGCCTCGCCCCACACCTCCTCCCACACCTCCTCCCACACCTCCTCCCACACCTCCTCCCACACCTCCCCTTACAACACCTGCCGAACCTCCCCCTGCACCTCCCCGCATACCCCCCCCTGCACCTCCCCCCATACCTCCCCCTGTAACTCCCCCCACGCCTCTCCCCCTTCCTACAGCAGGCCTTCCATTCGCCCGTGCGCCTGCTGCTGAGTCACCACAGCGCACCATTGGACGTGTATTGACCAATGGCACACTGCCACGTGGCATGGCAGTGGGCGGCTGACAGGGAACGGTTGTGGGAGGAGCACAGCTAGCGGTTGGCATAATGCGGCTTGCATGGCCGACGGGCGGTGGCACGGCGTCCGTTGTTTGCACATGCGCTCTGGGCGGCACAGGTCTTGCGCGTGTGGCATGCAGCATGCTCACAGGCATGTGTGCATGGGCATGGGCACGAGTTTGTGCGTTGGACTGTGCATGGGATTGTGCATGAGTGTGAGCTTGTATGTGGGAAGCGCCGTGAGCAGCAGGGAGAGCAGAAGTAGCAGCAGCAGTGGCAGGCACGGAGAGGGCAGCAGCAGCAGCGGCATGGAGCAGCGAGTCTCGGTGCAGAGAGGATCCATGGGAGGGCACGAAGCGGGCCGTGGAAGCAGGCATGGGGGAGGGGAAGGTGGGGCCGCGGGTAAGGGAACGGGGGGAAGGCTGTGGGGGGAGAGAGCGGGGGGAAGGTTGCTGGGAAAGAGAGCGAGGGGAGGGGTGTGGGGGGAGCGAGCGGGGGGAGGAGAAGGATGAGGATGAGTTGGGTGAGTGTTGGGAGAGGGGGAACCGGGGGGATGGAGCTCCAGGCAAGGAGGCAGGGGAATGCTGAGAGGAGGGGAGACGGGGCGAGGAGGAGGAGGAGGTTTCGAGCAGGGAAAGCGGTGTGAGGCGCAGGGGAGTGAGAGGCTGGGCACGTAACTGACGCTGCTGCAAGGGCAGAGACTCATAGAGTCGCTGGGCGTTCGTCAGCTGTGGTGGTGGCTCGGGCAGGGACCGGGGATGGGCTGCTGTTGCGGCCCGAGCCTGCGTCCGAGGCTCGGTGTGTGATGGGATGTGGGAGGCGGCAGAAAAAGAGGAGGTTCGTTGAGTGAGATGGTGTGCTGGCTTGGGCTTGCTACTCGCTGCAGTGGCGAGGGCACCAGCCGTGGCACCCCCCCACGAGTGCCATCTGGATGGGGCCTGGCTCATTGCTCCTAACGTGCTCACTCGTTCTCTCATGCTGCCAGCACCAGCAACGCCACCACGCCCATGCTCGCTTCCATGCTCGCGACGGTGCAGGCTGGCGCTACTCCTGCCGTCCGCAGCACAGGCAGCAGCACAGGCAGTGGCAGCAGCACCAGCCGTACGAGTAGGAAGGGACACCACAGCGGGACCAGCAGCAGCAGAAAACACACCAGCAGGAGCGGCAGCGGCAGGAAGAGGAGCCGGAGAAGGACGAGGGGGAGAGATGCGGGTGTGGGGAGAGGCGGCGGGGAGGGGGAAGGTGAGCATGCGGCGGTGCAGAGAGGCGCACTGGCTGCTGCCCCCACGAGCACGAGCAGTGCAGATGATTGCCGGCTCCCCAGTAGATGCGGCAGTGGCAGCAGCAGCATTGAGGGGGAGAGAGGCGGACTTGCTCCCCCCGCGCCCATCAGTGCCTGCCGGCACGCCAGTCGATGGAGTGGCAGTGGCAGCAGCATTGAGGGGGAACGAGGCGGACTTGCTGCTGCCGCGGCCAGTGCTTGCCGCCCCTCTGCCTTGCAAGCGATGCTCAGCGCTTGACGCTGAGGCGGTGCCGCGGGCGCAACCAGTGCGTGCTGGCGCAGCAGCAGCACCAGCAGCAGCAGCAGCAGCAGCAGCATTGAGGGGTTGAAAGGACGGGCCTCTTGGCTGGCTGAGCTGCTGATAGTGCTGCTGGGGGTGCTGCTGGGAATGCCGCTGAGTGTGTTGCTGCTGCAAGTGCTGGTCGTTGGGTTGGGAGATGGGCACACCCTCAAGGCCGTGAGGAGCGCACGATGCTCCGTGCTGCAGATCACGAGCCACAGCTGTTCTCTGCTGACCTGGAAGACTGACACGCTGAGCTGGCACCACCGCTGGGTCACACCTTTGAAGCGAGCACCGCTGGTAAGAGGCGAGCTGAGGCCTGCCGTGGGGCGCGAGGAGGGGTCTCTCCTGTTGCCGCCCGGTGTGATTTGATTGACACATCCTCGTTACAGTCTGCTGCGTTACAGGAACGTGTGCCTGCTCCAACCACTCCCCCACCTGCCCACCAGTTGGCCTTTCCCTCTGACTGCCACCCATACCGCCCATGTTGCCCACGCCACCACTCATTTCGTTTCGCCCCACCGCGTGCTCCTTCCAGCTACCTCCCCCCATGGCCCTATATAGAAGGCCCCTCCCCCTCCCCATCCCTCTCCCCCTCCCCACTGCCGTTGCTGTCCCCTGCACGATTCCCAGGCCCACGGTTGCACCCATTTCATCCCCATTGTCTCGCACCATACGACTCATGCCGCCCATGCCGCCCATGCCGCCCACGTCATGGATGCCGCCCACGCCGCCCAGGCCAGCTACTGTAGCCGCCCTGCGGTGCACACCGGCAGCATCCCCTCCCCCACCAGTCCGCCAACCCGCATCCCCCATGCTCCCTCTGCGCCATGCCATGCCCACCCCCTCCCCGCCCGCCTCTTCCCCCCCACCCCCCAGCTCCCCCCATCCCATGCCCTCTCGCCCCAACTGCCGCTCCTTCCAGCTACCTCCCCCCACTGCCCTCTCAGCAACCCCCCTTCCCCTTCCCATCCCGTCCCCCCTTCCACTTCCCCTCCCTTCCCCCCTTCCTCTCCCCATCCCATCCCCACTTCCTCTCCCCCTTCCCCTCCCCATCCCTTCCGCGCCCATGCTCCGCCTATGTGCCTCCTCCGTTCCATCTCCGCAATCCTGCGCCAAGCTGCCGTCACCCTGGACCAGTGGCCGGTTGACACGTGTAACAACAGGTCCTGCAACCCTCCGCGCGCTTTCCCCGTTCCGCCTCTCTTGGAAACTCCCTGTCCCGCGCACATATCCCCCACTTCCGCCCAAACCTTTCCGCCAATCCCCTTCCCCAGCGCTGGCTCCGATCCCCGCGCATGCCCCACCAGCAGCTCCCTTCCGCGCACCCTCCCCCCTGCCTTTCCCAGGCGCACCAGGCGCAGTCCAAGCAGCCTCCGCAGCCTCCGCAGCTTCGCGGGGACCTGTCCTACGTGCGGGGAGCCCCCGCCCCGCGGCCTGACCCGCTGCTTCCCTGAATCCTGCGCCGCTGCGCGCAACAACCTCCGCGTAAACCCGCGCTTCCCCCGCCGCCCTTTCCGCCACTCCTCCGCTTTGAGCTCTCCGCACACAGGTGCGCGTTTCCGCGCCTAACCTATCCGCCGTAACCCTCCGCAGACCCTCCGCGCCAGCGCGAGTCGCTTTTGATGTCTCTCCGCAATTCCCGGCTTCCGCAAAGCCGTCCAGCTCAGTCACGTTCCCGAACGCGTGGCGCAACGCGCCTGCAGACGCCACGTCAGCGCTGCCCCCGCCGCGTGCGGGCACTGCTGCTCGACCAATAGCAGCAGGCCAGCTCGGCGGCATCTGTCTCCGAGAATCGGGGGATTCCAACGAATCAACGGGAATCACGGGCTTGAAGGACGAAGGCGGTATCCCGAGTCGCAAGCTGGAAGCTTCAGATCTCTCAGCGATCAACTGAGGATACGAAGGAGCCGTCGAAACATTACTGGAAGGAACGCCAACGATTCGTGTCGAGGCATGCAACAACCTGTTAAAGTTAGAGGCACTGAGCGGCTCGATGCTTTCACCTAAAGCGTTGTCCCACGAATGACGGCTCAAAGGCAACCGGCGAGCCGCCTGTTGATGACGCTCGGGCGGAAGCGTCGAGGCGCTGTTAAGAACGCGCGGGTTGCGGCGCGATGCGCGACTTAACTCCGAGTGGTCGAAGCCATCGCTCGTGGACGGTGAATGAACGGCTGGATACGCATCGCTCGGGTCGCGGAATTCCCGAGGCGCAGCGGAAGGGCCCGAGGGGGAGGGCGCGCTGGCGGGGGATTCCAGCGAACCTGACCCGGGGCGCAGGCGGAGGGGGGAGTCGGGGGACGGTGGCTTCGGTCTAACTTGCTGCGCGGAAGACGGAGCGTGGGACCCAAGGCTTGGCAAAGTATGGCGGATGGACGCGCGACGCGGCGGCTGCGGAAGGGGCGGGGATTATATGCAGAACGTCGGCAGCGTTGCTGGAATTGCCGCGACGAGGCGGATCTCGAGCGAATGAAGAGGAACAATCTCGCGAAGGATGGGTGAAATTGCTACGACAGTTTGGTGCTGCTGCGATTGAACACGCCCATTGCAACTCACGCTGCTCTTTTATCCACGAAGTTTCGTCCATTCTGTCCTAACATTTCAAGGTAGCTAGTTCAGAGAAGCAGCAGCTGAAACGCGAAATGAGAGACCAGTGGATCTCTTTATGAGCGCGTGCTGCGAAATCCTGTGGTTTGGCTTGTGAATTGTGATGGAGGTCGTGCTGGTTTGCTTGATGGCTCGACACGACAATCCCAACGCCAAGGCGGGAAAGAAGTGGGCAGGCTAGGAATCATGTGCGAGGCGAGGCGATGCTAGTGCTGCTGCTGACTCATCATTGTGGTTTTCCTGGAGGTGAACAGTGAAAGCTGCTGCTGCCCGTTACAAAAACTCCCGTGCCTGTCGGGAAGCGCGATGAAGTGGGGCATCTACAGTACAAAAATCTCGCCTCCTCCCACGGCAGCAAGCGCAACTCTACCCCACCAAGAAAATCCTTGGGCCACTGGATGCGTGTGGATTACATGAGAGATTCGCAGTGGAGTGGAGTGGAGGCTTTGCAAGTTTACACCTCGCCTGCCATGCTTACTGACGCAATACACCGCTGGCTTCCATTCCCCGCTGGGCGGCCACGTTGCCGCGACAGTGGCACATTGAATGACCCGTAAGAGAGTGAACCTACATAATGAGGGGATGTAGACCTACTTATAGTAAAGAAAATCATGCAAGTACGAGCATTCCTGCTCAAAAGTGTGAATAATCTACTGCTCTAGTAATATCTTCACTAAAACGTTGCTGCAGTCTTGTTCACTTCATCCTCCATAGCTCCATATAAATTGCCACCAACCACATCGCACCCCTTATCTCCCTTAATGCGTTTATTAACCACACCATCCTCGTCACCGCCATTACTTGGACGCCTTCCGTGGAAGAACCTTCTTCACCGGTTGCTTAACTGAGCGAGTGGCTTCGCGCCTCTCTTTCAGAAGCTTAGCTCGTGCCTCCTCCCTTTCTTTTACCTCTTTTTCTGCTCGCTCGTCTTCCTCATCGTCGTCGCTCAGTGATCTCTGCAGTTTGCTTTTAGGCTTGCTCTTGGGAACTTCCTTAATGTCACAGCCCTTCACCCCCCCTGCAGCAGCATCTCCACACAGTATGGAGCCCTCATTTCTTCCCGCTGGCCTGGACTGTTGCTTCCTGTCCTCCGGCGAATCACAGACGGCCTCTCGGGTCTGGTGACTTTCCATCCCACCCTGCATTTTCTTCAGTGTTGGGCCACGCCTCTCGTTCTCTCCACGCTCCAAACCAGCCTCCCGCACTTCCCTCTGCCACTCTCCCATTGCCTCCAAGTCCTCCTCTCCACTCTCTGAGGAGTCTTCCCCCTTCCACCGTGCATTCTCTCCCGCACCAATCTTCTCCCTCGATCTCCGCACGTCCACACCCGCACCGCCATGCAAACCCCCACGTGTGTGTCGCGCGCTACGCTCGTCGTATGAGCGCCGCGGGCGGCGGCAGTCAGCGAGCGACGCGGACGGCGCAGGGCGGCGGTCGAGAGTGTGCACGCGGCGCGCAGTGGGATCCTCCGCAATCGGATCTTCCGCGAGAGAGTGAGAGCGCCACCGAGACAGGGGGCGAGTCCCGCCGCCGTCAGCGTCACGGCAGTCCTCTTCCTCCTCCGAATCTGACTGGAATTCTGCATGCTGGCGGCCGGAGAAACCCCTCTGTGACCGAGGGGAAGGCGATATTTGCAGCATTGGGTCGTCGTGGCCGATCGGCTCGCTGTTGTCCCACGAGTCGCAGGAACTGAGCTGCTGGCTGCTTCTGTGTCGGCCGTCGCCGCCTTTCCTCTCCCCCCTGGCAGGCGCAGGCGAACCGCTGCCCACAGAGGTTGACGCCAGTAGCTGACGTGGCGATTGCTGACAGGCAGCAGGCGATGTCACCGGGTTGTGCCGAGGCGAGGGGATGGAGCAGGGGAAGCGGGGGGAAGCGGCGGAAGGGGATGTGGGGGACGAGGAGGCGTCGAACGGGGAGTAGGCTTGCGCCGCAGCGCAACGCCTTCCCCTTTCCGCTCTTTCCGCCCTATCCGCCCTTCCCACGGTTGAGGACGCGGGGAACTGATCGTAGATGGCGCCAGGCCCAGCGGGGCCGCGCGTGTCGCGACGTTCACGGCTATGATCAACGGGCGACGCGTGGTGGTTCCGCGTCACGAACGGCTCGCCCAGGTCATCATCATCATCTGGCGCGCGCCGGATCTGACGGCTCAGCGTCCTCGTCGGCCCTCTCGCCCCCAGGTCGCTTGAAGGCTGCTGCTGCGGTGTGTGGAGCACGGGGCGTGTGTCGACAGCGACGAAGTGAGGGTCTGATCGGCTCTTCGGTGCGCCAGACGAGCGCGGCGAGGGCTGATGACTGTAAGGCTCGGCGCGCTGTCCGCCAGGGCCTTCCGCTGGGTGGTGAAGCTGCAGTCGCGGCGATTCTCGCGGCGAAAACTGATCCGATGCGCGAGCGGCGACCGGCGATTCGACGGTGTGCACCCTCCGAGTCGGAATCGGGACGCGATCGAGCGAATCGCCGTGCCACGTGTCGTAATGCTGCGGTCGACGGGATTGAGGGACATTCGACGCGGCCGCGCTGCCCAACGAGCTGGATTTTAGGCTGGGGCGCGAGCGCGGCGGTGCTCGTGCGGCGGCGGATGGAGTACTAGCACCAGCCGCGTTGTGCGTTGAATCGGCTCTGTGATGGCGGTTCTCGACTTGTCGAATCGCCTTCGTTGAATGGCCGCTCACGCCGCTACTGCTGCTGCTGCTGCTCCGGCGGACACTCGACGGCTGCGCCGATTCGAGCGCCGAGGCGCTCGCTGAATGAGGAACCGCGCTGACGTGTCGGCCATAGTCGACGCGACTCGTATGACCGCACGATTGACAGCCATTAGGAGACCCCGTCGAAGCGCTACCGCATGACCGCGAAGCCGACAAACGCGGCGAGTCCGAGGAGGACGTACCGAACGATGAGCTGGAAGTACGTCGCACATGATTAGGCGTCGGTACGTCGCCGCATTCGTACCCCTCGGACACTTGCAATGACAGTCGTGGTGGCACTCGGCGCCGGTGGCTCGGCATTTGCTGACGTGGCGACGCTTGTGCGGCTACCGGGACTCGTTTAGGCGGCCCCGGCCCGCCGGTAATGACCTGAAGATTGAGATCTGATTCGTTCACGTCGTTGTTGAGCAACTGCATCACTCGCTCGGCCTTCTCCGCGAATCGCTTTCTCGCCCCGTGGTCGATAGAAAGCACCAATGACTGAGCCATGGGGACAGGCAGTCTCGTGCAACCCGACACTGGAAATTTTAAGATTGCTGCTGTCAATGAGGCGAGAAGCGAAAGTGTTGCAAATGAGGATTTCCCGCTTCCTGCACAGCCTTCTGTACAAACATGCCTCTTGGTTTGGCATTGCTGTGATCTCCTGTCCCTATCAGCATTATGTGGCTTGAGAGCGGCGGTGATGGTTCTGGTCTGGTCTGGGGAATTACGGCGGCGGACGGCATTGGGTGTGAAGCGACGGGCCGCGGTAAGCAGACTTAATTTCCTCCGAGGAACTAGTGCCGCTGTTCCATACCCCAGGCACATGGGGTCCATGTGCTTATGGTTGCTGCTGACGGAGGGAGGAGAATGAATGTGATGTGTGATGCGGACACGAACGTGTACAGAACGACAAGTGATGCGATGGAATCAGGGCAGCAATTGTATCGTCGCGAAAATGCTGGTGACAAAAAATTGTCGTCCTGATTGCTTTGGCAGCAACATTTTCGCCTTTCCACGAACAGGTTTCCCTCGCAAACAGGTTTCCGACAGAATGGGAATCTCAAAATTCAGGGCAGACCTGATGGACATTTTGGGGAAAATAGTCGAATGGTGTACGTACGTACGTAGTCGAATACTGATCTCAGGTGGAAAGCAAGCCGTAATATCATCCAGGAAACGATGAAGCGTTATGGAAATTCAGAAATCGGGATTCGGGATTCCGTGAGGAAACGTACATGCTCGGCAAACGTGGAATGTCTTCATATCAGTCCAAAAATGTTTCACTTCGTTCAATCCCGCATCCATTCTGCCCATGGACTCGCGGGAAAGAACCGATCTCAACAAGGAATATCCTCGCGAAAAAAACAAGTTTGACATGGTACAGAAATATGAAAAGGGGTTTGCGTGCGTGTAGCCCTCTCATGCGGCGAGGTGAAACTGGGCTGGGTCAATTGTGAACATATATTTTCCTGCCGCCCAAACAAAAAACGCCAAGTGGAACGACGTTGTCGCGATGTTGTAAAGTACAGGTGGCAACGTGATGTATGAAAAATGAAACAACAACAGGTGGCAAAAGGACAACACGTGGCACAATTGTCGTGCCACTTGTGTATTTCGACCTCAAGTACGTAAATGCAAAAAGGACAACACGTGGCACAAATGTATTTTATCAAATTTTGCATGGCCCCTTCCAGTCTGAACTTTAAACAAACTACAGTAATCTTCTTAATACGATAATTGATTCAGCAACGACTGATTACAAAGAAGTATATGAATATATATTGATTGGCTTCTGCATAAACAAATCCAGGCTAACATGTTTTTCTGTGTGTCATATTTGCTGGCTTGGCGATTAAAGAGCATACAGTAAGCACACGCGTATAGGATGATCGATTATTGGTTCCAAATGAGCAGCACCACGTCTGTAACTATCTGTATGCTATAATAAAACGGTAGATGAGGCTAATTATCTTTCCATGTCACTTCTCAGGAATGTGGAAGGCATTCCTTATCGTAACACAATGCAGCAATATCAGAAAAATGACAAAAGGAGGGTGGGCCGCGAGGCAACCATCAGAACATGCCTCAGAACTTATGCTAGGGGGCGGAGAGAGGGGGGGGGGGTATATGGTGGTATCATACTTTCGGTGTCTTCACTATGTTTGTAAGGCTTCACGTTCCACTCCACTCTGTCCTTCCATACGGTACCTCGTTTCACTTTCCCTCCAAGCACATCACATGTGGTGTATGAATCCTCCTTCCATCAACTGCACCATCCTCACTGTCGTCAGCACTTGGACACTTTTAGTAAAGCACCCTTCTTCCCCTGCTGCACAGCTTTGCTACTGCGATCACAACTCGGTCTCACAACCTTGGCCTGTTCCTCCTCCTCATCATCTTCACTCAGCGATCTCTGCAGCTTGCTTTTGGGCTTCTCCCTACTCTTGGAGCTTCCCTTGCTTTCACTCCCCCTCACCCCTCCTGTGTCATCATTTTCACTGGATCTCTGGCTATCAGGTCTCCCCGGTGGCCTGCTCTGTTGCTTGCTGCCCTTCAAAGAATCAAAGGCAGCAGCGCTCTGCTGAAAGGAGTCTACCTCTCGAGTTTGGTACCTAAGGGGCCCATCTCGAAGGCCTGGGACCAAGGCAGCACGCTGCACTTGCGTCAGCATGGAACCATGCCTCTCAAACCCTCCACGCTCCAAACTAGCCCCCTCCACATCCCCCTGCCACCCTCTCGTTGCCTCCACATCCTCCCCTTCCCCGTCCTCTTCCCATGGCGCCGCCTGCACTGTGCCCCAGTCCTCATCCTCTCCCACCCACGGCGTATTCTCTCTCGCCCCAACCATCCCTTCAACTCTCTGCACGTGCACACCCGCACCGCCATGGGACGGCGCAGGGCAGCGGTCGAGATTGTGTGTGCGGTGCGCTTCTGCGAGAGAGTGAGAGCGCCACCGAGACAGGGGGGGAGTGCCGCCGCCATCAGCGCCACCGGCATCACCGCCACGGTAGTCCTCCTCTTGCAACTGGATCTCAGCGTGCTGGCAGCGTGCTGGCAGCCGAAAAAACCCATCCTCGAGCGAGGGGAAGGTGTTATCTGGGGAGTGGGGTGGTCGTAGAGCGGCTCGCTGTCGTCCCACGAGTCGAAGGAACTCAGCTGTTGGCTGCTCCTGTGTCGCCCGTCGTCGCCTCTCCTCTCGTGCCTCGCAGACCCAGGCGAACCGCTGCCCACAGAGGTTGATGTCATTAGCTGACGTGGCGATTGCTGGTAGGCTGCAGGCGATGTCACCGCGATAGGCCGAGGCGAGGGGATGGAGCAGGGGAAGCGGGGGGAGGCGGCGTAAGGGGAAGCGGGAGGCGAGGAGGAGTCGAATGGCGAGCAGGCTTGCGTCACAGCGCACCGTCGTCCCATTTCCGCCCTTCCCACGGTCAAAGAGGCAGGGAATTGATCGTAGCCGGCGCACGGCCCAGCGGGGCCGCGCGTGTCGCACCGTTGGTCAACGGGCGACGCGTGGTGGTTCCTCATTACGAACGGCTCGGCCACGTCATCATCACTTGGCCGCCGGATCTGACGGCTCAGCGTCCTCGTCGGCCCTCTCGTCCCCAGATCGCTTGAAAGCTGCCGCAGCGGCGGCTGGAGCACGGGGCGCGTGTCGACAGCGCCGAAGTCAGGGTCTGATCGGCTCTTCCGTGTGCCGTGAATCACGGCGGTTCCGCTGGACGATCGCGGCGAGGGGTTATGAGGAGCGCAAGAGGCTGGCTCGGCGCGCTGTCCCCCAGGGCCTGTCGCTGCGTGGTGAAGCTGCAGTCGCGGCGCTTCTCGCGGCGTCAGATGATGCGACGAGCGAGCGGCGACGACCGAGCCCACGGTGTGCACCCTCGGAATCGGCACGCGATCGAGCGACTCGCCATGCCACGTGCCGTAGTGCTGCAGTCGACGGGATGGAGGGACATTCGACGCGGCCACGCTGCTCACCGAGCTGGATTTAAGGCCGGGGCGCGAGAACGGCGGTGCTCGAGCGGCGGCGGATGAAGCAGCACCAGCCGCATTGTGTGTTGCATCGGCGGCTCCATGTTGGTGGTTCTCGCCGTGTCGGTTTGCCTTCGTTGCTTGTCCGCTCACGCCGCCGCCGCTGCTGCTCTGGCGGACAGTCGACAGCGGCGCCGATTCGAACACCGAGGTACTCGCCGAATGATGAATCGTGCTGACGTGTCGGCCCAGTGTGTCGACGCGAAGCGCTATCCCATGACTGCGTGATTGGGAGCCATCAGGAGATCCCGTCGACGCGCTACCGCATGACTGAGAAGCCGCCAAACGCGGCGAGGCCGAGGGGGGCTTCCCGAACGATGAGTTGGAAGCACGCGCATGATTCGGCGTCTGTACGTCGCATTCGTGCCCGAGAGTTGCAATGAGAGTCGCGGCCCCCCTCGCCGTTGGCTCGAGAGCTGCTGACGTGGCGACGCTTGTGCAGCTACGGGGGCGCGTCTAGGCGGCCCGGTAGTGACCCAAAGTTTGAGATCCGAATCGTCCACGTCGTTGTCGAGCAGCTGCATCACTCGCGCCGCCTTCTCCGCTAACTGCTTTCTCGGCCGGTGGCCGCTAAGCACCATTGACGCAGCCATGGCGACAGGGTTCTTGAAAACCGATAAGTCGTACAAAACTCACGAGTGCAGCAGCCAATGAACCGCGAAAGCGAAGTGCGATGCAAGTGATGCTTGCTTGCTGAGAAAAGGGAGACCGGACGCAGTTGGGTACAAGTATGAAACCCTGAAAGGGGCTGTACCCCATATTGGCTACCCCACTACAGCCTACACATATATAACATGCATATACTTTGACAGACGCAACCCTTTGTATCATGCTGATCGGTGCTGTCTCCAGTTCTGGTCACCATTTTTTAGCTTGAGAGCGGCGGTGATGGTTCCGGTCCGGTCCGGGGAGATACGGCGGCGGGACGACGTGAGGGGACGGGGCGCGGTGAGCAGATTTAATATCCTAGGAGGAATTGTTGCGTTGTTCCCTAACCAAATTCGGATGCGGTTCAATACACAGCGATCACCGTACAGTGCGATGGAAACTGGGCATCAATCGGAATGTCTCTCGTCGTTAGCAGCTCGCACGCGAAAATGCTTGCGATGCATTTTGTCGTCGTTGCCTTGCCTTGCCCACCAAGTGAGTTTCCCAAGCGGTTCGGTAATTGATAATTTCGAATTATACGGGGCAAATCCGAATATTTTTTCTGGAAAAGGTCGGACGGTGGAGAACAGTTGCTAGGTTCGAGCCTACCCGGTTCCACGCAATCACATCCCAAGCAACTTCCAAGTACAGAACCGTTCACGCATCCCGTATACCGGTCCATAATCAAAATATCATCCCAGCAGGAGAAATAGCTGTAACATCATCGAGGAAACGATGAAGTGTCAACTCAGAAATCGGATTGAGAGAGGAATCGTACTTGATGGGCCAACTCTTGATGGGCCGGCCTCATCTGATCATTCCTGTATTTTTCGGACTCGTCTCTTGTGCGAGCAACTTCTATTCTAAGTGTGTCGGTCGATTGCCACCAGCTTTTTTCAACCTCGACGGTTTCAATGCTTAAGGGGTACGCCGCGTGACAGGAAACTTAAGACCCGATTTGAATTTGACATCAACCGTTCTCGCCGAAACCCAGAGCAAATTACGGTTTCGGGTTAAATGCGAAAACAAAATATTGTACTTGACGACTAAAAAGTAATATCGCAAGTTGCTTTTGTGCGTCGGCGTGCTGGCTTGACGACGAAAAAGCGTACAGTATACACGCACGGATAGCACGGCCTGACACCATGAAACACTTAAAACCGAAATGCAAAATAGTGAAGGCAGGTCCAGCTTGAATGAGTGCTAACGACAAGATCAGCGAGCGACACAAATTTTGACATCAAACTTGCATCTTTTTACTGTTTGAGACACAGCGGGCATCCAGATCGAACACATCTGATTGGTTCCCGCCAGAATTGATGTACTAACAGCTCTTTGTCCGGGGTCGCATCTCTCTCGCGGGCACGATCTCCCCTCCCATTTCACTCGCGCTCACGATCTTCCCGTCACATCTGCCTCACGCGCACGATCACCCCTCCCATCTCCTCTCTCCCGTCGCCTATCCTCTTTCCCGTCGCCTTCCTCTCTCCCGTCGCCTATCCTCTCTCCCGTCGCCTATCCTTTTCCCGTCGCCTGTCCCTTTCCCGTCGCCTATCCTCTCTCCCGTCTATCCTCTCTCCCGTCGCCTATCCCTTTCCCGTCGCCTTCCTCTCTCTCGTCGCCTGTCCCTTTCCCGCCGCCTTCCTCTCTCTCGTCGCCTATCCTCTCTCCCGTCGCCTATCCTCTCTCCCGTCGCCTATCCTCTCTACCGTCGCCTTCCTCTCTCCCGTCGCCTATCCTCTCTCCCGTCGCCTATCCTTTTCCCGTCGCCTTTCTCTCTCTCGTCGCCTATCCCTTTCCCGCCGCCTTCCTCTCTCTCGTCGCCTATCCTCTCTCCCGTCGCCTATCCTCTCTCCCGTCGCCTATCCTCTCTACCGTCGCCTTCCTCTCTCCCGTCGCCTATCCTCTCTCCCGTCGCCTATTCCTTTCCCGTCGCCTTCCTCTCTCCCGTCGCCTATCCCTTTCCCGTCGCCTACCCTCTCTCCCGTCGCCTATCCTCTCTCCCGTCGCCTATCCTCTCTCCCCTCGCCTATCCTCTCTCCCGTCGCCTATCCGCCCTAGCAGGTCCATGTTGCTTTGCGTGAGTTGGACTTGCTTTGCATGAGTTGGACATGCTTCACGATGTGAATTTGGCACTGATTGAATGTAAATGAGATTCGCACGTCGCAGGCTTTCGAGCGACGCATTTGCACATGCTTGCTGCGATTTTTGTTTGAGAAGAAATTTGGAGACTCAGTATCATATGTGCCTGGAAAAAAATACAGAACAGTACTTCAACTTTCAAGTGGACCCAACTAGAAGGGGGGGGGGTCACTATTTTGCCTACGGGCTTTAACATCTCCTCACGATCCGTTTAGCTCAAACACTTGTGGAGTACACCACTTCAGTCACGTAACTCTACGTGACACTTGTCGAACGTTGGAATATTTTTATCTATCGCTCTTGGACAACACCCATCCCTTAATAGTTCCATTGGCCAAGCGTTCGAAGCTTTGTTGATAACAACTCTCCACGTTTGGAGCCACACCATTCCTAGCACCACTCCATCATTTTTCAAGTGCCTTGAAGTGAAACCTCCTCCTCCATACCATCCTGCCTTCTGTTCAGTTGTATTGTATAGGATCAGAGGTAACAGTGCACATGTGTCCGTATCTAGACTTCGAATACATAGTTTTGGGTTAGGTTTTCAGCACTTCAGCAGCCCACAATCAGCACTCTGCGATCGGCTGGCATGGGGAGTGGGGGTAGCAGGAGGAATGCTGAGGACGAGGATGAGCTGATGTTAGCCTTGCCGTAAACCACAACATCCTCACAGTCACCATCATCACTTGGACTTGGAGACTTTCAGTAAAGCACCCTTTTTCCCCTGCTGCTTGCGCCTGCTGCTGTCATCACGACTCGGTCTCACAACCTTGGCCTGCTCCTCCTCCTCCTCATCATCATCACTCAGCGATCTCTGCAGCTTGCTTTTGGGCTTCTCCCTTCTCTTAGAGCTCCCCTTGCTTTCACTCCCCCTCACCCCCCCCGCGTCAGCATCTTCACTGGATCTCTGGCCATCAGGTCTCCCCCGTGGCCTGCTCTGCTGCTTGCTGGCCTCCAAAGAATCAACAACAGTAGAGCGATGCTGGAACGAGTCTGCCTCTCGTTTGGGGTTCCTGAGTGGCCCGTCTCCAAGGTCTGGGACCAACGCAGCGTGCTGCACTTGCACCAGTATGGGGCCATGCCTCTCAACCCCTCCACACTCCAAACCAGCCCCCTCCACATCCCCCTGCCACCCTCTCATTGCCTCCATATCGCCCCAGTCACCCTCCTCTTTCCATGGTATTGTCTGCACTAGCCCCCCACACTCCTCTCCCACCCACTGCGCATTCTCTGTTGCCCCGGCAATCTCCGCCACTCTCTGCACGCCCACACCCGCACTGCCATGAGAAATTGCACGTGCGTGTCGCACGGTCCGCTCGTCACATGCCGCGCGCCGGGGGAGGGCGGCAGTCGAGAGTGTGAGCGTGCGATCGGCGTGCAGCGGGGTTCTCTGCGATGGCATGCCCCGCTATGAGATGCTGCGGTATAGGATGCTGCGCAACAAGGTGATCCTCTATGGCATGCTGTGCAAGGGGATGCTCCGCTAGAGCAGGCTGCATGAGGTGGAGCGAATGGGAGCGGCACCGAGTCACGGGTCCTGTGCAGGGCGCTGCAGCATGCGCACCTGCTGCCGCCTGTGCCACGCCACCACCACCACTGCCACCAGCGTCACCGCCATCAGCGCCACGCCAGTCCCCCTCCTCCCAGTCCGCGCCTTCAGCCCACAGCTGCTCCGACTGGACCTCCGCGTGCTGGCGGCCAGAGAAACCCCTCCGGGGCCGATGCTCACGGCAGGAGGGGGGAACCGGGGGAGGTGTTATCTGCGGCGTGGGCTCGCCGTCGAGCTGCACGCTGTCCCACGTGTGGAAGCGACTCAGCTGCCGGCTGCTGCTGCCTCCGCAGTTGCTGCCCCTCCTCTGCCCCCCTCTTTCAGTACCAGGCTCCTGCCTCCGCCGTTCCATCTGCCCAGCCGGACTGCCCGTGGCGATGGTTGATTGCCGGTGAATTGCAGGGGAAATACCGCCCAGAGAGGCTGTTGGTAGCACCTGCTGACGTGGCGATTGCTGATAGGCTGTGGGAGCTGCCATGGGGATGAGACGAGGCGACGGGATGGCGCAGGGGAAGCGTGGGGAGGTGGCGGAAGGGTATGCGGGGTCCAGGGACGAGGTGGAGGAGGGGGAAGAGGCTTGCGCCACGGCGGAGCGTCTTCCCCCTTGCACCCTTCCCACGGTTGCCCCGCGGGGGGAATCGCGGTGCTTGGCGCCGGGTTCAGCGGGGCTGCGCCTATCGCGGAGTTGGCGGCTGTGGCTAGCAGGCGACGCGTGGTGGTTCTTCGCTGATAAGGGCGGCTCGGCCACGTCATCATCAACGCCTGCATCGCAATCGATCACCAGGGCTGCTGGCCGCGGAATCTGACGGCTCAGCGTCGTCGTCGGCCCTCTCGCCCCGTCTGGACGCTGCGGCTGCGCCTGGAGCATGGGCCGCGTGTCGACAGCAGCGGCGTTTGCGGAGGACATGACACGTGTCAGCGACGTCGATTTTGCAAAATTGGACTCTCTAGTCACCAGATCTGGGTCCGAACCGCTCTTCAGTATGCCGCGAGTCGCGGCGCCTCCGCCGGACGAGCGAGGCGAGGGGTGATGGGGAGCGCAAGAGGCCGGCTCGGCGCGCTGTCCGCCAGGGCCTGCCGCTGCGTGATGAAGCTGCAGTCGCGGCGCTTCTCGCGGCGACAGATGATGCGACGAGCGAGCGACGTCGGTCCGCGCCCTCGGGATCGACACGCGATCGAGCGACTCGCCATGCCACGTGTCGTTGTGGCGCAGTCTACGGGATTGGGGGACTTCAAGTCTCGTCGCCGCGGCGCCGCCCATCTCGGATTCCGATCTCAGGCCGGGCCGCGAGCGCGGCGTTCCTCGCGCGTCGGAGGATGAAGAAGCATCCGTTTTACGAGCACTAGTCGCGACGGGTCCCCGAGGGTTATTCTCACGGGTTGCCTCCGCCGTGCGTCTCGCCGCGATGCCGCTGCTGTTCCGGCGGACACCCGATGGCGGTTCGAGCGCCGAGGTACTCGCCGAATGCCGAATCGCGCTGACCTGACCAGCGGCGAGAAACAAAGAAGACTCGTCGGAGCCGCTAGGGGAGCCTGTCGAAGCGTTACCGCATGACCGGGAAGCCGCCAAACGCGGCGAGGCCGAGGAGGACTTGGAGCTACTACTGAACGATGAGGCGGATGGAGTTCGAGATGCACGCGAATTAGGCGTCGTTACGTCGAATTCGTACCCCTCCGAGAATTGCAAGGACAGTCGTGGCGGCCCTCGTTGGTGGCTCGGCGGGAGTTGCTGACGTGGCGAAGCCTGCGCGCCAACCGGGACCGACCGAGTCGGCCTAGTAACTCGAATATTAGGATCCAACTCGACCGCGTTACACGGCTTATCGTTGTCGAGCAGCTGCATCACTCGCATCGCCTTCTCCGCGAATCGCTTTCTCGGCCCGACTTGCTCGCTAAGCATTACCAATGGCGCAGCCATGGCGACAGGCAGGTTTCTTGCGGTCAAAACAAGGAAAGAGTTCGGGATAGCAGCTCCGCAAGAACTGTGAACCGGGAAAGCTAAAATGCGAAGCAGCGGCTGCAAAGAAGCCTCAGCTGCTGGGGAAGAAAGGAACAAAGGAGGCAGCCATGCCTGCCTGGCAGCGCGGTGCAGCAAACATGCTCCTGATCGGAATGGCCTTGAAGTGAGCTTCACTGCCTGTCACGTTACCTAGATTGGGGTTGAGAATGGCGGTGATGGGTGCGGCTGGGTCATACGGCGGAGAAGCAAGTGGTGGCATGTGAGGTGAGCGAGTGACTGAGGGGACAAACGAATCTTCTTTGTACAGATTCGGGGAGGATGGCGATTCTCGCGTGCGTGGGAGGAGGATGTGGGGCGGTCAAAGCGAAGCCAAGGCGATTTTAACGACGTGTTACTGCGGTTGAGGTAACGGTGCGATGGAACCTGGTCAGCAAATTCGTCGTCACTGACTGCTCGCGAAACCGCTTGCGACAAATTCAGTCGCCTTGACTAACACTCCCGACAAAGAATACTTGAAAGACGACGAACTTCTCCATGGTCAACAATCTCGAAATGTTTTAGCTCCTGAAGAAACCGATTATGACGAGATAAGGAAACCTAAGGTACACGCATAATGAACCTTAACACCCCAATATCTAGATTCAATGAGCCCTGCCGTATACAGCTATATGCATTGTCAATTTGTCACGTATATCTGTACGAACATTACACTGATAGCAGAAACCTGACATGCATTCTCTACTTCAAACTATTCTCCACATCAATGACAAAGCGATACTTCACATCACCCTGCAAGAACACAGCCAGCCCATCAGAAAAGTGTTGCGAACAAACAGACAACATACTGCCCAGGCCAATGTTACTTCAGTGTGGACTCTACCTTGAGTAAACGGTCATATGCCCTGTTGATATCTCCAATAGCGATTTTCTCCACCTGGGGAGCCACGCCATTCTTTGCACAAAACTCCAGCATTTCTTGAGTCTCCTTGATTCCTCCAATCAAACTTCCTGCTACCATCTTACGCCCTGTGATACAATGCCACAATAACAATGAGCCACAGCAAGTTCAGGCAAATGTGATTAAATAGGAAAACGTGTTTAGCATTACGCTCAACGATGCGCAAAGCAAGCCCCGCAACTCAAAAAGCATGAAACCTCCCGCTGGTTCGAAAGAGCACGAAAGCCACTCACATATGACAAATTCTCTCCAGTGTGAATGCACTCACCGAACACAAGCTGACTGGCATGGAGAGTGAAGGGTGCTGGGGGGATGCCGAGGAGGAGCAGCTTCCCGTTGAATGTGAGCAGGTCGAGGTAGGGCCCCAGCTCATGCTGCGCTGAGACCGTGTCAATGACCACGTCCAACGTCCCTGCTGCCGCCTACAAGATCCAACAGCAAGAACAGAGGAGTAGATGAGTTGATAAACAGAACAAAACACCGGAAACTGTGGTTGGGCATGGTAAGAGGTACCAATACAAGAGCTTCGCAGGTGATAAGCCAGCCTACCTTCATGGCGTCGGCATCCTTGGTGACAATGAACCTGTGCGCGCCCATCACCTCCCTCGCCTCCCTCTCCTTGCCCTGGGACGTGCTCAGCACGGTGACGTGCATGCCAAATGCCCGCCCCATCTGCACTGCCACGTGGCCCAGCCCGCCCAGCCCTGCCACCCCCAGGCGCATGCCGGGCTTGTTGGCGCCATAGTGCATCATGGGGGAGTAGACTGTGATGCCAGCGCACAGCAGGGGCGCTGCCACGTCAGATGCCAGCTCAGCAGGGATGGAGAGGACACAGCTGGGAGGGCAGGGCGCAGAATGTGGGGCATAGAGAATAATACATTGAGAAGACGAAGGGTTGTGCAAGAGCATGCGGGGCGACGAGCAGGGAAGAAAGGAAATAGGATGATGATGCCGTGCATGATGAGGTGTGACAGAGGACTCGGGACTCGGGTCAAGGTTCAAAACGTACTCTTCATTGCACACGATGAAGGAGGAGTAGCCGCCGTAAGTGGACTGGCCGGACGGCGAGAGCGGGTCGACGGTATTGTAGGTGAAGATACACTTGGGGCACGACTGCTCCTCGTGCTGCTTGCACGCCACGCACTCACCGCACGACCCCACCATGCACCCCACGCCCACTCGCTGCCCCGCTGCCACCTTGCTCACTTGTGCTCCGACCTCCTCCACCACTCCTATGATTTCGTGCCTGCAACGGAAAGGCACATGGAAAGGAGAAGGCACAGGATGTTCCCTCAAGCGGTGAGTAGTGCGTGGATGCAAAGTGGGTGAGATGACTGCCAGGACGAACGGTGTGGGGGAGGAAAGGCATGAGGGAGCAGGATGGAGACGAGAGGTGAGAGCTGGAGGAATGAAGTAGCAGGAGAGCACGAGGGAGTACGGAGGAGGAGCTTTACCCGGGAACAATGGGGTACATGGAGTTGCCCCACTCGTTCCTCGCCAGGTGCACGTCGCTGTGGCAGACGCCGCAGTGAGTGATGCGGATCTTCACGTCCCCGGGCCCCACCTCCCGCCGATAAAACCTCCACGGCGCCAGCTCCCCGCTCGCGTCGCGCGCGGCGTACCCCACGCAGTTACCCTCGCCCTCTGCGGGAGCCATGGACGGACCGTCTTGATACTTCGATGGTTGCTGTTGCTAAGCAGGAGCTGGGGGAGGAGAGATTCGAGTGCTTGTACTAAGGACGGCGGGAGGAGAGGGCAAGGAAATGGTGATGAGAGTGCAGCAGGCCATTCCATAGTGCTTTGAAGGATTCGAAGTAGATGATAATTTCATGTCTTTACTTGAATCTGCCACGTGTCGAAGCGAAAGAGGCTGGGACGGGAATGATAATTCCCTCGCGCAAACTGGCTGGCTTCGGGGATAGCTGGCGTCGTCAACGAGGTACGGTCGCGATGTCGTCGGGTCAATTATTCTGACTAGACATTATGCAGCGCCGTCGACATGGTTTGGGAGGAGCAAGGGAGCACGCGCGATGTGTGCCATTGCTTCATCTGCCTCGGCGGGTGAATGGAGCAATGCGTCAGTTGCCAAGCCGAGTCCTTATGCCGCATAAAACATGTGACAATGTACTCTCAAAATAAACTAGTTCGACATTCCGCAATCCAGTTCCAGCATTCCCTTAGGTTGGGTACGAATTTTACACTTCTGTGTTACAATGTACAAGTCTGGACTCTAAAGGATCCTAAGGGCATTTTCTTATCCCAACACAATTCATGGTAATCTAATGAAGGAGCATGTAATATGGTACCTGTAGGAACACAAGTACCGGTAAGACTGCACTGCAACAGGCACCATGCAAGGGAGGCTCGAACCAAAGCACACATCATCTGTGGCCGTCAGTCACATCCTTCAGGCTGTTCTCAACATCAATCACGAAACGGTATCTCACGTCACCCTGCAAAACCAATCAAGCCCAACAAACAATAGCAATTACAAGTACCGTATTAGGTAGCATCGGAAAGAAAGGCGACACCTATCTTGCACAGTGTGAATGTATTCCTGCCATTATGTTACCTTCAGCAAACGTTCGTGTGCCTTGTTGATGTCTTTGATATCAAGGCTCTCCACTATGGGCGCCACACCCTTCTTTGCACAGAACTCCAGCATCTCCTGAGTCTCCTTGATTCCTCCAATCAACCCACCTGCAACCATCTTGCGCCCTGTCATGCCACCAGGAAGACAGGTAGCAACAGAGCACAGAAATGGAAGACAGGCAACTACAATGAGCCAGCCAAATCAGTTCCGTGAAAGCGTGCAACAGAATGCAAGAAACAAGCCAGCCAACCACGGACTGAACTCAGCCTAGAGCTGATGTTGCTGCTTCAAGCAACACAAACGTCACTCAGATAATTAGGTTTGTCAAGCAGCAGTGTGATTACCGAACACAAGCTGGCTTGCGTGGAGAGTGAAGGGGGCTACAGGAATTCCTAGAACGAGCAGCTTCCCGTTGAACGTGAGGAGGTCGAGGAAGGGCCCCAGGTCATGCTGCACTGGCACCGTGTCGATGATGACGTCCAGTGAGCCCGCTGCTGCCTGCACGCACAAACAGGAAGCAGGCAGGGAGTATGAGGGTGGATTCGACAATTGAGACGTCTCAAGGTCGAGCAAGGGCCCCAGGTCATGCTGCACCGGCACGGTGTCGATGATCACATCCAGTGAGCCCGCTGCTGCCTGCACGCACAGACAAGAAGCAGAAAGTGAGGAGGTCGAGGTAGAGCCCTATCTCATGCTGCACCGGCACCGTGTCGATGACCACATCCAGTGAGCCCGCTGCTGCCTGCTTCGACAAGCAGGAAGCACCCGGGAAGGTTGGGGGTGGATTCTTGGCCAAAAATAACTAAAACAAGGGAACGGAAGGTATGAGACCCCTTTTTTTTTTAAGGCAAGCAGTGTCATCACGCGGGAATCAGCACATCCCAGCACAAGCCCACCTGCATGGCAGGCGCGTCCGTGGTGAGAATGAACCTGTCTGCCCCAAACAGCTCCCTGGCGTCCCTCTCTTGGTGCGCCTGTATGCTCAGCACAGTGACATGCATGCCAAACGCGCGCCCCATCTGCACTGCCACGTGGCCCAGCCCGCCCAGCCCTGCCACCCCCAGGCGCATGCCGGGCTTGTTGACACCGTAGTGCATCATGGGGGAGTAGACTGTGGTGCCAGCGCACAGGAGGGGCGCTGCCACGTCAGATGCCAGCTCAGCAGGGATGGAGAGGACGAAGCTGGTGGGGAAGGTTGGGGAAAGCGGAACGAGACGGCAAGATACGAAATATATGTAAGAAACTGCAGAGGACAGGTTTGTGAGAGGACCAACAGGGTGGCAGATGTAGAAGAAAAGAGGGAATGAATGAGTGCGTCCACTCTTTAAGACGAGCATGATTAACGGACATGCTTAAACAAAGATAAACACATGGCTAGAATGGGCAAGTAACATGGTTACACAACAGAGCAGAGCGACATACTGTTCGTCGCACACGATGAAGGAGGAGTAGCCGCCGTAAGTGGCCTCGCCAGACGGCGAGTGAGGGTCCACCGAGTTGGAGGTGAAGAGGCACTTGGTGCAGAACTGCTCCTCGTGCTGCCTGCACGCCTCGCACCCACCGCACGACCCCATGATGCCCATCACGCCCACCCGCTGCTCCACAGCTACCTTGCTCACGGCTGCTCCCACCTCCTCCACCACCCCCACGATCTCGTGACTGTAACGAGATAAAACAATTTGAAGAAACAGGTAGATACGTTCAGTAGGAAACTTTGCGTTTCAGGAGGACAGAAGGCGGGGTGGGAGTCATGCTGCGAGTGAGATGGAGGATTTCGGAGGCAAGACGAGATCGTGGAAAAAGCTGGAGGAGGAGCGAGGAATGGCGACGTAGGATGGCAGGGTGGACGTAACGACTCGGAGCGGAGAGGGAAGAGCAGCTCACCCGGGGACCATGGGGTACAGCGAGTAGCCCCAGTCGTTGCGCGTGAAGTGCACGTCGCTGTGGCAGACGCCGCAGTGAGTGATGCGGATCTTCACGTCCCCGGGCCCCACCTCCCGCCGATGGAACCTCCACGGCGCCAGCTCCCCGCTCGCGTCGCGCGCCGCGTACCCCACGCAGTTACCCTCGCCCTCTGCAGGAGCCATGGACCGGCGCTTGAGAGGTTGTGAGACTGAAGGGTACGAGAACTCGAACGAGCGCGAATGCTCGACGTCGAATGCTTGGAAGGACAGCGAGGAAAGGGCGCGCCGGCATGAGGAAGTCAGCTGCCATAACGCAGGGGTATAACGGATGACGAGGACGCGCACGGGGTGCGCAGGCCGTTCGCGGTGAGCGCGAGAACGAGGCGGCGACGGTCACGCAGCTGAGCGTCGGAGTGACTAGCGTCGGACAGATCGAATCTGCGACACCGGCGAAGCGCAGGCTGGCTGAGGAGCTCGAGACTTATCGCGTCGGTGTGGAAGGCTCAAGCCTCGTCGAACGACTGTCATCGTGAACAAAGCGCGGTCACACCAACGAGTTCCAACACATACACGGTGTGGCAACAGAGATGACAATGAGCCTTGAGCTGTTGGAGTTCCCGAGGAAAGGACCTCGAGAATCTGGTTGGGTGATATCCAAACACTGCTGTATATTCGCGTTATGCGCAGCCACGACACCCTTTCTACACAAAGAACAGCAATACTTATTACCTACCATCACTGTGATTATAAACTACAAATCATGCTAAGCAAGCTAGAGCAAGGCTAACCATCACTATATGCCAAAGAGATCCGAAAGTACGATCGCTCATTCCCGCCTTGGGCTCTGAAGAGGGAGGAGGCGGAGCTGGTGGCACACTCATGTCTCTAGGGATAGTGGCGCAATCAAGGCTGGTGTTCAACGCAGTCGAGGTGGGGGATCCCACGTAGTCACCGGGGACGAATCTGAAGGGGCAGCAGGGTGAGGAAGGGAGAGAAAGCGGTGACAAACAAATAGGTGCAATTGTGGCACCTTGATAAACGAATGGTCACCAGTAAAAGGAGGTGTATGCAGGGCATGAGGGTGCAATGGCAGCACTCACATCAAGTGTTGCACATCGCTGATGTTGGCATAGGGCGTCTTCTGGCCCGTGGCCTCCTCCAAGCACACTATGCTGCGATCGTACGCCGCCACCTGGCACACATAGCCCCCGCCTGCTGCCACGGGCCGTGAGAGCACGAGCCCACCTCTTGGGGGTGACTGGGGGAGGATTAGAGGAGAAAGGAGAAACAGAGGGAAATGAAGGTTTGAGATGAATGGGATGCTCATCAACAACAGCCACTTGCATGCTAATTACATTTATGTGCAAGTATATACATCTACAAAGTGTAGCTACTCACGTTGTCGCCCATCTGCTGCTCGAACTGCACGAAGGACTGCATGTTGCCCTGCGAGCACCCGCTGCCGCACTGCATCAGCTGCTGCATGTCCAGCCGCCCTATCACGCCGCCCTCCGCCACGCTTATGTACACCAGGTAGTGCGGCGGCTGTGCGGTCAAGGATTGTGATGGGGGAGAACGGTGTGGATGGGGTGAGTGGGGGAGGGGGGTGAAGAAGAGGAGGGCATGTCAATGTGCACGAGCTGATGGGGGAGAATGCGAAATCGAGGGATCGGCGGCGGGCAGGGATCAAGGAACACGGTGTTGCGCACTAGGCACCAGGGGGGCGCAGCAGGACGGGCAAGGGGGAAGCGGTCACTGTTAGTGCAGGTGAAAGGGGAACAAGCGGGAGAAGGAGAATGGGACGGGGAAAGGCGGATGTGTTGAAGGAAGAACGGAGGAGCTAGAGGGTCGTGAGAAGTGAAGGTAGGCAGGGGACGAGTGCGAGGGCACATAAAGCGTCACGTGGATCTCACCTTGGGAGTGAAGACCATCCTGAGCGGCGTGTAGTCCACGTTGAACGTCAGCGGCTGCCACGCTGTCACGTTGGGGCGCGGCCGCGGCGTGGGCTGCGGCTGCCCGTTGGGCTGCGAGGGCGGCGGCTGGACGGCACTCAGCTGCAGCAGGTGGATGGCCTTGTTTGTCGCATCCAGCACGAAGAGGAAGCTCTCGTCCGGCGCCATGTACAGCTCGCCCTGCGCGAGGGGGGGGAGGGGGGGAGGTGGGGAGGGGAAGTGGGGGAAGAGGTAAAATGGGTGGGGGAGGGAGTGGGGGAGATGGGAGGGAAGGTAGGGAGATGAGGTGGGGGGCGGGGAGTTGGAGAGAAGAGGGGCGAGAATAGGATATAGAGCAAGCTACCCGTTCGTCCGCTCCTGGTTCGCTCCCCTTGCTTCTCCGCATGCCTTTACCCTTCTCCCGCACTTCTCACCTCACTCTATCCTCTCACTCTGCCAACCTCGCGCGCTATACTGGATAACCCCGCATCTACAACGGACCCGCGCGCGATCTTCTCCCTCACTACGATCCGCTTACAGCGAACGGCCAGACGCCCACGATCAGGTTCGTGCGCGCGTCGATCTGCACCGTCGCCAGCTTCCCCGCTCCCGCCAATCCATCCCCCGCGCCCGCCTTCCGTGCGCCCGCGCCCGCCTCGCTCACGCCGATCCCGATTCCGCCGTCAGCAGGGGAGACGGGGGAGGCGGAGGGCGGAAGCGCGCAGGAGACGAATGTGTGGCGCAGCACGCGCGCATACGCGCTGGAAAGCGCGCCGGGGCAGGCGCGCTGTGAGACGGCTGCAGCTTCCTGGAAGGAGAGGAAGAGCGCGGGCGCGGTAGAGGGGCGCGCGAGGTCGACTGCGTACACCCCCGATGATCCCGAGGTCGTCAAATAGCCGCGCGTGCCCAGGTCTGCGCTTACGCCGAGGACAAGGGGGAAATGTTGAAGGGGGAATGGCGAAGGGGAGAGGGGGAATGGGAATGAATATGGCGGCAATCCTGAGACTGCCTTCGCAGGCGGCAATCCCGAGACTGCCTACGCAGGCGGCAATCCCGAGGCAGAATGAGAGCGAGCACTCACGTGTGCTTGAGAGAAGTTGTGCGGGAAGAAACAATGGGAAGGGATGCTGAGGAGGGATGCGACTCACTAGGGCTCTGCAGCAAGCGCGCGCGCCCCGCGGGTAACATGGTGTTGATGCCCTGGCTGTGCACCTCCGCGTATGGCGGCTGCGCCGACAGAATGGAGAACGAGTAGCGGTCCGCCACGTCAGCCGCGTGCACCCACACCTCGTTCTGCGGAGAGGGAAAGGGGCGGAGAGAAAGGTGTAGGGGGAACGTGCGACCGGGGATTCGGCGCAAGGGGTAAGGGAAATGGATAGACGGGCGGATGGGGTCGGTGAGGCGCGGTGGCCAGTTGGAGGGGACAAGCAAGGCTTGGGGCACGGACGGCGGAATGCGTTACGCGTTCACGGAGTGGAGGGGCAGTTGTGCTTACAGCGAGGGGAACGAAGTAGACGCTGTCCGGCGTGTTGTTCAGCGGCACTCGCGCCTTGACGTCCGCTGTGACCGTGTCGAACACGTGCAGAGCGTCGGTGAGTTCCGGCAGGCGAAGCGCGCCCGTCGTGCTGTAGCTCGCCGCGGCCAGCAGCGTGCGCTGCGCGGGGCCGAACGCCACGCTCCGCCACTCGCCCCTGATGGCGGCACGGGGACAGGAAACAAGGAGGAAGGAGCGGAGACACGACCACTGATTCATGAAATGTTTTTGCATAACAGGGATGTGTGCGGATGCGGAGGACAGCGGAGAATGAGGCTCCGGAGGGATTTGCAGACAGCATGTTTGAACCGTGCATCTAGGTTGGGATCGCATCAGGGGGGTTGCGCCGCACCTGAGGGGTTGCGCGCCGCACTCAAGGGGTTGCGCCATACCTGAAGGGGTGCCCGGGGCACTTGTTGGGGAAGGGCACGTGCCCCGATGGCCCCTTGAACGCGCGCAATGATGCTAGCGGGCTGCCTTTTGTCGGGTCGATCAGCACCACCTGTCGTCACGTGATTGGGCAGCCAGGGAGGGCAGGTAGACAGGATTGGGGAAGGGAGAAGGTGTGAACGGAGTAGCGACGACACGTGGCCGCCGTCACGTCGTTGAATACACATTAGCTGAGGTGCATAAGGAATCCATCACCAGTTGTTAAATCCCGACCACCGCTCACTCGCACCGCGCTCTCCCTCTCGACCTCTCGTGCGTTCCCGACCTCCAGCATTTGTACGGACTTAGACTTTATGGCGACGACATCGGTCGAGCTTGCAGCCTGTCAGTGTCGATCTCTATTCGATATTCTAAAGGTTATTCGAGTAATAAAACGAAACGTCGTCATTCTTCCAACGTCGTCTCGCGTCGCAGAAGTTTTCAAAAAAATGATAATCATCACGCGCTTGTTGATCGCGCGCCGTTGCTCTAGGAATTTCTAAGCATGACAGGCAACCCATCATGTGAGGTGACACTTGCCTGGCCGTCCGCGAAGGCGTAGAAGATTCCGCGACTCATGCTTGCCACCACGTCGGCGTGAACCAGACGGCAGAGGCACACCAACCCGAAAAGCAACGACGCGGTTCGCATGACCTCTCCGGACGCCATGCTCAAAAGTATTTGCAGTCGGACCGTATTGATAGCAAGAAGTCTAAAAACGACACAACTTAAGGAAGTATACCTAGTGTCTGAAAATACGTGCTCGCAAGGACTGTCAGAAAAGCGTACTGTGATGTGGAGCTTGTGTCGAAGGAATGAAGAAATGAGGTGACTGCTCAACGATGGGGCTCAACGAGGTGCAAGGGGCGGAACATGCATGGGATGTGGCTTGGAAGGAGTTGCGCGCGATGCAAAAACATTTTGCGCCACTTTGCTGCTGGTGCGCTGCACATAGGCGGCTGCAGTGAGCAAAATGTGCTTTCGGCCGACCATCCGCGCGCTGCTGGTGTCGGAAATCCGCCTCTGCGCCTTTCAGGCGCAGGCTCTGAGGGAATTTACGCGCTGCAGTGCTCCAGAAGTGCTATGGCGGAGCTGCACCAAATTTGCGCGTCGTGGGACTCTTGGGGTGATGATTTGGCTGCCCTGGGTCAGCTGACATGGCAATGTAGGTGGTTCCTCAACACGAAAGCGCCTCGCCACATCATCATTATGGCACAGTAACGAGCCTGCTTGACCAGTGACTCGAGTCCCTTCGCTACAAAAACTCACGTATCGTACCGCGCCGCTCATCCAGGAATTGGACATTCGCATCGCGGTACTCCTTCCACCGACGGCGTCTGTTTGTGGAGGGACCTGCGCCGCACGCAATTCCCATCCATCCCGATTCCCAACCACAAGCCGAGTGTGAGAATGCCCCTGGCCCTGGTGTTTCGAGCAAGTAGTTCGTGCTTTGCTTCACGACGAGCAGCGTCCCTCAAGTCTTGGCAATCCTTCTCATCTTGCCGATAGACCACACCAAAACCTTGCAGCGAGCTGCCCCAATGAATCTGTGAAAAATAGTGTGAACGTCTTACCTCGTATACCGTCTCCCTAGATTTCGTTTCTGCTCGAAGGCTTCTTTCCTTGTAGGTAACGTTTAATTTAAGGGAGGCCAGATAGGTCTAGCTGGTATAACCTCCTTACAGTGACAGCCCATCGACCTTAGCTTGTCGCTCAAAGCTCCTGAAGAACATGGCTCCGCGGGTGGCGTGGCAACTATGCCTATCTGCTGTAGTCGTGCTCGCGTCGCTCTGCTCGCTAAGTCGTGCTGACGTTACTCTTCCCGATCCACAGCGACCCGGCCTCTTCTATTTCTTCATGTCCGGGCAGGTTAGTACGGACGGTGCGCTGGATTTTTTTGAGCTAACCGCTGGCGCATAGCACGGATTCGCGCCGAATAAAACTTAATTTATCCGTTGCCGCACTTCCCCTTAGCACGGACGCAAAGCCCCACACACCGTGCAGCCGATGTCTAGCTTAGTTCGCTGTACTCACACTCTATCCGCTTGTGCCGGCCGCTCTTCACCATACTTACTCCGTGCCCACCGTCCGCCTCGTGCTGCCCTCGTGTGCGACAGATCGTGGTGGTGGACCCGGTGTCGCAGAAGGTGGTAACGAAGATCAACCAGACGTCGCAAGGCGCCCCCGCGCCCTTCCCCAACTCCTGCCCCGGCCACCCCATGCAGTAAGCGCCGTGCCTCCTCGCTTCAAATAGTAAATGCCGACTCGATCTGCGAGACGTGCAGGTAGCGTTGTATGGTCAAAATACAGTTAGAACTCCATTAAGTGCGCGCCTCGCCGTACGACAAGAGCGCGTCGCCTCGCTGCCAACCCTCGTTCTAGCCCTGGAATACCCTTATGATATCGAGTCACTATTCTTTCATAACTCCCCCCATTTCCACCCCCTCTCTTCAAGTCCCTCTCCCATTCCGCGCCCCGCCCCTTCTCCTTAACTCCCCCCTCCCGTTCCACACTCCCTTCTGCGCCGCCCCCCCAGAGGCACGTGGAACCGGCACACGACGGGAATCGATCAGCAGACCATCTTCATCACGGCCAGCTTCCAGCAGCCCACGCCGCTGCGACTGCCGGGGCTGTCGGACATGGTGCTCGTCGTCAACACGTCGTCGCAGAGCGTCGCAGCGTCCGTCGCCGTGCCCGATATTCCCAACGACATCGTCTTCGTGCCTGAAGTGGTGAGTGCTGACGTGGCGTGGGCCGTGGTGGGGATCGGCTTTTCATAAGTGAAGGTCAACAGTGGTTACCGTGATGGGCGAAAGTTCGTCAGGGATTCAATGTATCTGCCACGGATAAACTCAGAACACGAGTAAGCTGGGGAATAAAGGACAAGAGTGCGATCAAACAGTTACTCCCAACCGGCCTGCAAACGTCAAATCATGAGTTGCAATTCAAACGCTGCAAATTGAAAAAGGCAACCGATGTCTCTCCCCCTCGACACAATCACATTTGCAGGGAAGCGTGTTTGCCCACGCAGACGTCAACGGCACCTTCGCCGTCATTTCCGCAGCGCCGCCGTACACGTTGCAGCGCGCGCGCTTCTCCTCCGAGTTCGCCGAGGCGGGCTACGGCCGCCTGCTCGCCGACTCGGGTACGCCTCCCCTCCCCGCGCCCGCCGCGCTCGCACTCACCGTTCCCCGCGCGTGCCGCCACACGCCCGTCCGCTGTGTTGCGCGCCTTGTCCTCTGTGCGCACCTGCCTGTCCGCCCCGCGGTCAGCGCCCCATTTACCGCATCCGCATTCCCGTTCCCATTCCCATTTCTCGCGGTTCAGACGGCGTCGCAGATGCCGGGGGATCGTGTTCCCTGGCAACCTCTTCACCCTGTGCCTCCCATCCCCCCCATCCCTGCCCATTTCCGTCCATCCCCATCCCTTACTTCCCCGCATCGCCCCACCCGTCCAATCGCCCGCAGCGCTCAACGGCAAGGCGTTCCAAACCGCGTCGCAGATGTCGGGCGTGTTCTCGCTGAACCTCTTCACCCTGTGCTACCCACTCCCCCCCATTCCTTCCCATCCCTCCCCTCTCCTGCCCATTCCTGTCCATTCCCAACCCTTGCTCTTCCCCGCATCGCCCTGCCCGTCCATTCCCCTTTATCCCCATCTCTTACTTTCTCCCGCATCACCCCACCCATCCAATCGTCTTCAGCGCTGAACGGCAAGGCGTTCCAAACCGCGTCGCAGATGCCGGGCGTGTTCTCGCTGAACCTGTTCACGCAGTCGTCCGACGTGCCGTTCCTCGACTTCACCCAGGCCATGCTGCAGTCCCAGCCCTGGCTGCCGCCCGACACGCCCATCTACTGCCCCGGTGAGTTGCCCTGGTGACAAGATGGTGACGTTTTGATCATTCTCAAAAGCCACTCCTCCACCTCTCGCAGGCCATGCTGCAGTCGCAGCCATGGCTGCCGCCCGACACGCCCTTCTACTGCCCCGGTGAGATCCCGTTCGTGCGTTGCTGCGTTCGCGCCCATCTGTTGACCTGGTGAGTTGTCCTGGTGACAAGACGCGCGCATGTCTGTTGTACAGGTGAGCTGACGCGCTTGTCCTTCCGTGATCTCACTTTCCCCTCTCTCTCCCTCCAGCGACGCGCGAGGCGGTGTATTCGGCGGTGAATCGGCGCGCGTACGTGTCGTGCGCCAAGGCGGGCAGCCCGCCCGACCCCAACGCGCCCGAGCCGGGGATAGTCGAGATCGCGGGCGACGACAGCGTGCCCGTCGGCTACCTAAACTTCAAGGTGCGCGAGGGGGAAGGCGAGGTGGAAAGACAGGGCCGGGGTGAATCTTGTCTGTGAACCGCGTGGTGCAGATGCGTCCATCCCATCCCTCACAGTACCGTCTCATCGCACCCTCTCATCCCATCCGTGCCCTCCCCCCCCCCCCCCTCGCCCCCACCTCCGTGTGTCCCTCCCAGGCGGACAGGCTGCACCATCCAGATGAGACGTTCCTGCTGGCCGGGGACAGCGGGGCAAACGCTCACATCCCTCACACCCACGCCCCCTCTTGTCGCATCCTTGCTCCTCCCCTCTCAGTGCGCCCCTCCGCACCCGCCTCCACGCCCTCCTCTTCAACCCCCTTCCAGGCTGTATCTGGCGCCAGATAGATACATCCTTCCTGCTGGCCGGGGACAGCGGGGCAAACGCGCACATCCCTCACACCCACGCACCTTCCCCTCTTCCCCCCTTCGCGCCCCCCCACAGGCGGACAGGCTGTACCTGACGCCGGACGAGACGTTCCTGCTGGCGGTGGACAGCGGCGCAAACGCTCACATCCCTCACACCCTCGCTTCCCCGCACTTTCTTGCCTCATCCTTGCCTCCCTTCCCCTCTCCGCGCCCCCTCCCAGGCGGACAGGCTGTATCTGACGCCGGATGAGACGTTCCTACTAGCAGTGGACAGCGGGGCGGGCGTGATCCGCATGGTGCAGGTGCTGCCGGGGGTGGGCAACGACCATCCCTCACACCCTCCCTCTTGTCTCAACCTTTCCCCTCCCCACAGGCGGACAGGCTGTATCTGACGCCGGACGAGACCTTCCTACTGGCCGTGGACAGCGGCGCGGGGGTGATCCGCATGGTGCAGATGCTGCCGGGGGTGGGCAGCGACCAGGTGTTCTCGCTGCAGTGGCCTGACGTCACTCTGCCGCCCAACTCCATGCCCGACAAGATCCTCTTCTACCCCAAGGCAAGCACCACAGCGCCCCTGCTTTCCCAACTACCGCACCCCCCCTCTCTCCCTCTTCTCCTTCGCCTCCCTCACCCTACACCCATGCCCGACAAGATCCTCTTCTATCCCAAGGCAAGCACCACAGCTCCCCTGTGCCTTGACTCGAACCTGCTCCGCTCCCCTCCGCTGCTCTGTTCTGTTCAGCTCTGCTCTCTGCTCTCCTCTGCTCCCACCATGCAAGTCACTCCGTCTGCTCCATGCACACCACCTCTGTCGCCTCCCTCGCCTTCTCCCCACCCCCCAGGGGCTGTACTACGTGGCGCTCGTGTCGCTGGTGCTGAGGTATCCCCCTCCCCCCCTTTCCCCCCCTTCCTCCTCCACCCCCCAGGGGTCGTTCTACGTGGCGCTGGTGTCGCTGGTCCTGAAGGACAGCACGGCGGTGATCGATTTCAACAAGCTGCTCGCGTGTGGCGCGCAGTGCCCTCAAGACAACATCGCCGCCGCCCTCACATTCATCAACACCGGCTACCATGTAAGCTGCATGTCCCCCCTTCATGTTGCTCTCTCAGTTTCCACACGGATGTTACCTTGGCCTCCTTGCCCTCCTTTGTTTCCACTGGTTACCATAATCATAGCCTTTTTCTGCATCACTATCCTTCTGCACTCATGGCATTTCTGTCTCTGAATCTCCACACTCCTCAGCTCCCTCCTGCCCTCCTGACCTCATCTCATGAGCCCTGCTTGAACCTCTTGACTCCTCAACCAATCAGGTGGCGCCACGTGCCAACATGGATTTGAGCATATCTTCGCGCAGCATTGCAGTGGGGCATCAGTTCGTGTGTGTGGCAGCCAATCACGACAAGGCCGTGCACTGTAGCAACCTCGTTAACCCGGCGAACAACAAGATCTACACCAACATGTTTGATGTGCAAGATATAGTGTAAGTGGGTCGTGTTGACGTTCAAATGCTTCATGTAAATGCGACACCAGCTGGAGTGGATGGGCTGGGCTGGGCTGGGCCTCTCATCAGTGTGACTCCTGTCCTACACCATACCCCTCTTCCCTACCCACACACTCCTCATCCCCTCATCCCGCCGTCCTTGTGGAAGGGAGGTCAAGCATGCAAGCGGAAAGACCTTGCCCAATATGACCTTCAGGCCAACTTATGTCAGCTTCCCCTCATGCTCCCACTCCCACCACCCCCTCACCACACCAGGTTTGTGGAGGGCAAGTACCCGGGAGACCAGTCGTTCATCCGCCCCATCGACACCACCTTCGATTGCTCCTCTGCACCCACCACACTAGACAAGCCGCCGCCACCCCCTTCGCCATTGGACCTCGCTGTTGCCGCGCATTTGAGAGGCTCTTAGCCGCCACTCCCTCGCCTCTTGAAGAGGGTCTTAGTAGTCGCTGCTCCCTCGCTTCTTAATAAGCGCTCAGTGGCTGCACCGTTTATCCGCGCTGTGCCTTGTCGCCAGCCACCGTCGTCCACAAGGCTGCTCGACGGTTTCTGACACAGTGCCTTCTGCTCGTCGTTGTATGCTTGTCAAAAGAATGTAGAGATTGATGAAAAGAGTTGGATGTAGTTGTAGTTGTATTTCAAATAAGTGCATTGAGTACCGTAAGATTTCCCAAAGCTGAAATGAAGCAAATTCAGACTTCGTTTAGCGGATAACTTTGCAAATGGCTTATTTCGAGCTGAGTTGTTTGCCACAGTCGTGCTCTTCTCTGCAGAATTGCTACATACCTGCCCCTGCCCCTGCGCCTCGCCTGCATCTACATGCGCGCTAAACCGCCGTCCATCGCGCATGTCCGACATCTTCTTTACATCGCGCACACCGCCTCCGCTCCACCCCGGGCATTGGCTGCGCCCGCGCGCCTCATGGCGCTCAGAACGTTGCGCCTGGCGCCCAGTTCTCCAGCAATTGCCCCCCTTGCGCGTTCGACTCTTCCGCTTATCGATCGCATCGCTAGTGTCCGCCATTTCAGTCCCGGTGCCGTGCGCGCTGCGTGCCGCTCTGTCGATGCAACCAGGCAGAGCGAGGATGGCGGAGGGACCAGCGCGCGAGCCTCCGCGCATCTAGATGGCGCGCAGACGTTATCCGCTCGCAGCACCCCCGCGCATTCCCCCCGTGAGGATACTCGCGGCTTGATGGGGGATTACCTTTCCGCCTCCCGCTCCGCCGAAAGCGTGCGGGTGGGAGGCGTCAACGCAAACGGCGCCGCAACAGGCGGCGACACGATCGCGGCTGTAGTCACTGCCGTGTCGTCCACGTCAGGTGGCGTCGCGATCGTGCGGCTCTCCGGGCCCGCCGCTGTGAGCATCGTGCGGAGCATGTTCCGCCCCGCGCGGAAAGCGAACAGAGCGCGGAAGCAGGGGGGAATGGCCAGGGGAAGCGGAGACCTTGGCGCATGGGCGGGGAGCTCGGGGAACGGAGCGTGGGGAACAGATACTGGGGATTTCCAGGGAGAGTGGAGTGAGGAGAACGAGTCGGCGGGTAGCAGCAAGGAAGGGGAGGGGAGAGGCGGAGAGGCGATGGGGGGAAGGGGGGGGAGCGGGGAGGGCGGAGCGGCGGGGGAGTGGCGCGCGGAGAGCCACCGAGTGAGCTACGGTCACATCGTGGACGAGCAGGGGGCCACCATTGATGAGGTGTGTGCAGTGGGTGAGGGGCCAGGGTTTCGGGGTTCAGGTTCGAGGTTTCGAATTTATGCGCCGTTGCGTGGCTCTGGGCGTGGGTTGATAAGCCTAAGCAATGATGGTGTCTTACTCACCAAGTGCCACGGCGTCCCATGCTGGATGTGCTGAGGACCTGGTGGAGTGGAGCCTCACCAACCTCCCCTCGCCTCTTCCCTCTCCCCTCCTCCCTCCTCCCCCCTCTCTCTCTCCCCTGTCTCGCAGGTGCTGGTGCTGCCAATGCTCGCCCCGCGCTCGTACACGAGTGAGGACGTGGTGGAGGTGCACTGCCAACCTGCCCTGCCTCCTCCTCCCCCCATTCAGCCTCCTCACTTCCCTCCCCTCCCCCCAGGTGCTCGTGCTGCCCATGCTGGCCCCGCGCTCGTACACGAGTGAGCACGTGGTGGAGGTGCACTGCCACGGTGGCAGGGTGTGCGCCCACTCCTGCCTCGCCACCGCCGTCCACCTCGGCGCCAGGCTGGCAGGAGCAGGTGATGACGTGGCATGTGGTGATGTGGCCTGCCAGTGTGCTGTCATTTGACATGGTGTGCCATGTGTGTTCCACATTCAATGCGCACAGCACAGTGTTCCATGTGAGTAAGTGCCAGGCCAGCTCACACCATTGTCGCCCCGTGTCCCCCACGCAATGCACCCACACATGCACCTCCTCACTCCCACCTTCCCCCCTCCCTTCGGTCCTCCATCCCATGTACGCCACGAGACTTCATCCTTTGGTGAAGTGACTTTTGAGTCGACTCTGAAGTCTTCTTATTCCCTTCCCCCCCCCCCCCATGCACGCCAGGCGAGTTCACCCTGCGCGCCTTCCTGAACGGGCGTGTGGACCTGGCGCAGGCGGAGGCCGTGGCGGCGCTCATCCGCGCCGACACTGCTGCTGCTGCCCGCTCCGCCCTCGCTGCTGTTGAGGTCCGTCAGTGGGGGAGAGGGGAGGGAGGGGAGAGGGGGGAAGAGGGGCTTGCGTGCGTGCGTGTGTGTGCACGAGTGTGGGTGGATCTGGCACAGGCGGAGGCCGTGGCCGCCCTCATCCGCGCCGACTCCACCGCTGCTGCCCGCTCCGCCCTCGCTGCTCTTGAGGTCAGCCCGAAGGAGGAGAGGGGTTGGGGGGGAAGGCGGGAGGAGGTGTGTGGAGAGGCAGGTATGGTACAGGTGGTGCGCACGCCATTATTCTCGCCAGCCACACTTGTGCGCTCTCCTGTTTCCCTGCTCCGCGCATGCACCATTCACACTCCACCACGCACCGTCCACCACACCACCCCATGCTTCCATCCTCACTTTCCACCCTTGTCCCACACCCTCTCCTTGCTCCCCTTGCCACATTCACCATCCACTATGCACCATACAGGGCGGCTTATCTCGGCACATCCGGGGCGTGCGGGCGGCGTGCATGGGCGTGCTGGTGGACATCGAGGCGCGCATCGACTTTGAGGAGGATCTCCCACCGTTGGATGCTAAGGACGTCAGCCGTCGGATTGGCGCCATCTGGCAGCAGATCAACGAGGCCCTCGCGACAGCCAATCGGGGCCGACTGCTGGAGTATGGCATTCAGGTGGGGCTGAGTAGCATTCAGGTGGGGCTGAGTGACTGCAATTACATTGCATGTTTAGAATAGACAATCACATGTTGTCATTGTTTCAAGCATTTTCCACTCCCCTGGCCCCTCCATCCTGTATGGCATCCCCCGGCAGGTTGCGATCGTGGGGCGGCCGAACGTGGGCAAGTCAAGTCTGCTGAACGCGTGGACGCAGTCAGAACGAGCCATTGTAACGGACACGCCCGGCACCACGAGGGACATGGTGGAGGCACAGCTGCACCTGCCGCTCTCATTGTCTCCTCAGTCTTCAGTCTTCAGCTTCCCCCCCTCCCCTCGCCCCTCCACTCCTATACGGCAGGTTGCGATCGTGGATCGCCCCAATGTGGGCAAGTCGAGTCTGCTGAATGCGTGGACGCAGTCGGAGCGAGCCATCGTAACGGACACGCCCGGCACGACAAGGGACGTGGTGGAGGCACAGCTGCACCTGCCGCTCTCAATCTTTCACGCATTCTCAGTCTTCATCTTCCTCCCCTCTCCTCGGCCCCCCTCCCCTCGTCCCCCCACTCCTCGCCCCCCTACTCCTGTACTTCAGGTAGCGATCGTGGGCCGGCCGAATGTGGGCAAGTCGAGTCTACTGAATGCATGGACACAGTCAGAGAGGGCCATTGTGACAGACACGCCCGGCACCACAAGGGACGTGGTGGAGGCTCAGCTGCACCTGCCGCTCTCATTCTTTCACGCATTCTCAGTCATCAGCTTCCCCCCCTCTCCTTGGCCCCCCACTCCTCGCCTCCCTACTCCTGAACTTCAGGTTGCGATCGTGGGTCGTCCCAACGTGGGCAAGTCGAGTCTACTAAACGCATGGACGCAGTCAGAGAGGGCGATCGTGACAGACACGCCCGGCACAACGAGGGACGTGGTGGAGGCGCAGCTGCACCTGCCGCTGTCAGCGGGGGGCTTCCCCGTGCGCCTGGCGGACACGGCTGGCATCCGCCACACCACGGACGCCGTCGAGGCCATCGGTGCGTTGTGTGAAAGCCTTCGTGTGTGCCTTCCCATGCTGCCTGTGGGTTGAAGATGAGTGTGAGCAGTCCTTCTTGTGTGCCTACTTATGCTGCCTGTCCGCGGGGGGCTTCCCCGTGCGCCTGGCTGACACCGCCGGCATCCGCCACACCACCGACGCCGTCGAGGCCATCGGTGCGTTGCAGTGCTTGCCTCCTTCGTTGCTCTCGCGTTGCTCTTCCAGGCGTAGTGCGTCAAGGCGGCCTTGAGACGTCTCATATACAATCTTCCCCGTGCGCCTGGCTGACACAGCTGGCATCTGCCACACCACCGACGCTGTTGAAGCCATCGGTGCGTTGCGTTGGTGCACAGCAGGGCAGGGCAGGGCTCCTGGGTTGTGCTCCTGGGTGGTCGGTGCGTTGCTCTCCCGTGGTGTGAGCTATGCTCTTCCAGGATTGATGTGCCAAGGCAGCCTGGGGAGGCGGCTGGTCATGTGTGCGCTGCGCACGGCATTGACTCATCCAGTTTGATTCGCTTCACTTGCTGTTCCTGGTGCAGGTTCACGTGCGGCTGTTGAGCGCTCGTGGCTTGCTGCTGAGATGAGTGTGTGAAGGCCTTCTTGTGTGCCTGCCCATGCCGCCTCACCGCATCTTCCTCTGTGCTCTCCTGCTGCCTCATGCATCGTTGTGCTGCCCCTGCATTGCGGTGCTGGCAGGTGTGCAGCGGTCGGAGGCGGCAGCAGCGGCAGCGGACGTGGTGCTGGTGGTGGTGAGTGCAGCGGAGGGGTGGACAGCAGAGGACTCCTCCATCTTCCACCGCATCTCCGGTGCCGTGGCGGTGCAGACACAGACAGAGGGACATGCAGAGGGGCATGCACATGCAGACACACGTGCGGACACACATGCACATGCAGATACACAGGGAGCAATGGAGAGAGGACGACCCCTGGAAGCAGGTGCTGGGTCGAGCCAACCCTTCACCACTGCAGCTCCCGCAGAGGCAACAGCAGCAGCGGCACCAGGAGCAGCAGCAGTGGCAGCGGCGTTGGCAGCAGAAACAGCAGATATGGCAGTACGGACAGCAGCAGGGGCAGAGGAAGCGGCGCACGCGACGGCGGAGGGCCACCCGGTGATAATCCTGGTGGAGAACAAGAGCGACCACGCACACCCCCACGGCGTGCACGTGCCAGCAGCCGTGCAGCGGGCTGTGTGGCGCCGCGTGGCCACCAGCGCCACCCTCCGCACGGGGCTTGACCAGCTTGAAGCCGCCGTGGCAGCAGCCGTAGGCGGGGGCCTGGTGGCAGAGGAGGGGCAGCAGTGGGCCGTGAACCAGCGGCAGCAGCAGCAGCTGGTGCGCGCTGCAGAGGCGGTGGGGCGGGTGAGGGAGAGCATTGGAGCCGGGTTGCCCCTGGACTTCTGGAGCATTGACCTGCGCAGCTGTATACTGGCGCTGGGGCAGGTAAGTGGCGAGGAGGACGTGACGGAGGAGGTGCTTTCGAATATCTTCAGCAAGTTCTGTATTGGCAAGTAGGGGTGAGGGAGAGCATAGGGGCGGGGCTGCCGCTGGACTTCTGGTCCATTGATCTGAGGAGCTGCATCCTGGCGCTGGGGCAGGTGAGCGGCGAGGAGGATGTGACGGAGGAGGTGCTCTCCAACATCTTCAGCAAGTTCTGCACTGGGAAGTAGGGGGGCGACTTTTGAGGCGCCTCAGAAGTTCTGTATCGGCAAGTAGAAGTGCTGTATTGCTGTGCATGTCGTGTGCCGTGTAATGTATTGTAACACTGCTGCTGGAGTGATTTTGCGATTTGAAATTTCACTACAGTTGAAAAGGCATGTGTTGCTTTAGTTTGTTTCATCGTCAAGTGTTACCGTACATTGAAGGCTACAGGGGGTCGGTTGGGCAAGGGTTGTTGGAGATGCGAGGCATTGAGCCCTGCTTGTGCCAGCTGGGCCAGCAGAATGCGCCCCCTCCTGTTGCGGTAGCGCGAAGAGAACTGCCCCCTCACCCGCCGTGCCACCGCCCGCCACGCCATGTCCTCTGCTCCCCCAGGTCGTGGCGGGAAGGAGTAGATGAAGTGATGCGCCACCTGTGAGGCAGGGATGTGGGGTGGGGCGGGGTGGCAAAGGGATGGCATGAGGCATAGCAGTGTGTTTAGGGAGCTGCTCCCCTCACCCCGCCACACTGCTCCTCCAGGTCGTGGCGGGAAGGAGTAGATGAAGTGATGCGCCACCTGTGAGGCAGGGATGTGGGGTGGGGCGGGGTGGCAAAGGGATGGCATGAGGCATAGCAGTGTGTTTAGGGAGCTGCTCCCCTCACCCCGCCACACTGCTCCTCCAGGTCGTGGCGGGAAGGAGTAGATGAAGTGATGCGCCACCTGTGAGGCAGGGATGTGGGGTGGGGCGGGGTGGCAAAGGGATGGCATGAGGCATAGCAGTGTGTTTAGGGAGCTGCTCCCCTCACCCCGCCACACTGCTCCTCCAGGTCGTGGCGGGAAGGAGTAGATGAAGTGATGCGCCACCTGTGAGGCAGGGATGTGGGGTGGGGCGGGGTGGCAAAGGGATGGCATGAGGCATAGCAGTGTGTTTAGGGAGCTGCTCCCCTCACCCCGCCACACTGCTCCTCCAGGTCGTGGCGGGAAGGAGTAGATGAAGTGATGTGCTACCTGTGGGGAGGGATGTGGGTGGGGTGCTGTGAAATGGTAAAGAGACAGCACGAGGCGCATGAGGGTGGTTGGGGGGTGCGCTCATGCCATGCAGCGGTCCTTCCAATCACGGCACTGGCACCACTGCATGGGCGCCAGCCAGCATGGGCAGCAGGCAGCATGAGCGCCAACGCATGAGCGCCAACGCATGAGCGCCAACGCATGAGCGCCAACGCATGGGCGCCAACGCATGGGCAGCAGGCAGCATGGGCGACTGTGAGTGCCCTGCTGCTGGCACCCGTGGTACACACGCATGAATGACCTCTTACAACTCACCTCTCGCATTCCCTGCACTCACAAGGACAACCTTGTGTGTTGTTGACGCCTCAATAACCTCTTGCCCTGCCCCACATGACCAGGCACAACCAACCTTCTCTCACACACACAGCAAGCACCCCATCCCATGCACAACACTTCCCTCTTGTCCGCTCACCTTCCTCATCGCTTCCCACTGCTGCCGCCACACAGCCTCTGTCTGCGCGTGCAGCACGCCTAGAATGTACCCCGGGCGCACAGCAAGGGCAGCAGGGAGGAGCAGCGAGAAGGTGGAGTAATCAATCACGTCCTCAAAGGGCGGGTCGAGTGCGTCGCTGATGATCAGGGGGATGCACCCGGAGAGCATGGCGTCAAACAGGCGACAGCTGGAGGAGGTGTCACCTGCGAGGGGGAGAGAGGGGGAGACAGCAGGAGGGGGAGGGAGTGGGTGGGAGAAGGCGGAGTAGTCGATGGTGTCTTCAAAGGGTGGGTCCAGTGCATCGCTGATTATCACTGGGATGCAGCCAGAGAGGATTGCGTCGAACAGGCGACAGCTGGAGGAGGTGTCACCTGTGAGGGGGAGACAGGGGGAGGGAGAGGGAGGCGCGGGGAGGAGCAGCGAGAAGGCGGAGTAGTCGATGGCGTCCTCAAAGGGCGGGTCGAGCGCGTCGCTGATTATCACGGGGATGCACCCGGACAGCATGGCGTCAAACAGGCGACAGCTGGAGGAGGTGTCACCTGCCAGTGGGGGGGTGGGGAGGAGGGGTTGAAGGGCGGGTGGAGTGCGTCACTGAAGATCACGGGGATGCACCCGGACAGCATGGCGTCAAACAGGCGACAGCTGGAGGAGGTGTCACCTGTGAGGGGGAGGAGGGGAAGGGAGAGGGGTAGGGGTAGGTGTAGGGAATGGGGAGAAGGGGACGAGGAGGGCGAGAGAGGAGAGGGCGGGATGTACAAGTGGCAATGAGGGCAAACGCGGGGTGACGAGGGTGTGGGCAATCAAAGAATCTTTCCACCCCTGCATGCTCATGTGGCAACCCACCCACCCACAATGCGTCTCTCACATACCTCGCGGCACCAGGCAGTACTTGGCGCGGCGCATGGAAGTGCCGGCCTGCGCCGTCATGCTGCTGTTCTCCGCCCGCCCCACTGTGAACTGCACCCCGGGCTGCCCCTGCAGCTCCCTCTGCACTTGCTGTCGAATGATGCCGCCCTACGGGAGGGGGGAGGGGGGAGGGAGGAGGGAGGCGGGAGGAGGGGGGGAAATGAGAAAGGAAGGGAAGGTTGCGGAAGAGGAATGAGGGGGTGGTGAGGTGGTGGGGCAGTGGGGTGGCAGGCAGGGGTGTGCAGGCAGGCAGTTGGGTGGAGGAGCTAGCAGTGCTGGAGAGCAGAGGCTAACGCGTAAGGCTGGTGAGCGGCTGACACGCATGGCTGGTGAGAGTGAGTGAGCGAACTAGCGAGTGGCACTGACCCCCCAGCGGTCGGTGGTGCCTTGGAAGAAGAGCAGCAGGGGGCGGTGGGACCAGGAGCCACGGTCGTGAGTGAAGGGCGGCACCAGCGGCACATACGGTACGATTACATCTCGGTCAAATGATGCTGCCTGTGATGGGTGGGGGGGCGGAGGGCGGGAGGAAGAGCAGCAGCGGGCGGTGGGCCCAGGAGCCACGGTCGTGAGTGAAGGGCGGCACCAGCGGCACGTACGGCACTATCACATCACATCTGGGTTTAGGTCAACAGCGAGCTTGATGGCAGCAGCGAGGGGCAGCACGCATCACCACACGCATCACCACATGCAGCACAGACACATCCCACATCACCACATGCAGCACAGACACATCCCACATCACCACATGCAGCACAGACACATCCCACATCACCACATGCAGCACAGACACATCCCACATCACCACATGCAGCACAGACACATCCCACATCACCACATGCAGCACAGACACATCCCACATCACCACATGCAGCACAGACACATCCCACATCACCACATGCAGCACAGACACATCCCACATCACCACATGCAGCACAGACACATCCCACATCACCACATGCAGCACAGACACATCCCACATCACCACATGCAGCACAGACACATCCCACATCACCACATGCAGCACAGACACATCCCACATCACCACATGCAGCACAGACACATCCCACATCACCACATGCAGCACAGACACATCCCACATCACCACATGCAGCACAGACACATCCCACATCACCACATGCAGCACAGACACATCCCACATCACCACATGCAGCACAGACACATCCCACATCACCACATGCAGCACAGACACATCCCACATCACCACATGCAGCACAGACACATCCCACATCACCACATGCAGCACAGACACATCCCACATCACCACATGCAGCACAGACACATCCCACATCACCACATGCAGCACAGACACATCCCACATCACCACATGCAGCACAGACACATCCCACATCACCACATGCAGCACAGACACATCCCACATCACCACATGCAGCACAGACACATCCCACATCACCACATGCAGCACAGACACATCCCACATCACCACATGCAGCACAGACACATCCCACATCACCACATGCAGCACAGACACATCCCAACATCACCACATGCAGCACAGACACATCCCACATCACCACATGCAGCACAGACACATCCCACATCACCACATGCAGCACAGACACATCCCACATCACCACATGCAGCACAGACACATCCCACATCACCACATGCAGCACAGACACATCCCACATCACCACATGCAGCACAGACACATCCCACATCACCACATGCAGCACAGACACATCCCACATCACCACATGCAGCACAGACACATCCCACATCACCACATGCAGCACAGACACATCCCACATCACCACATGCAGCACAGACACATCCCACATCACCACATGCAGCACAGACACATCCCACATCACCACATGCAGCACAGACACATCCCACATCACCACATGCAGCACAGACACATCCCACATCACCACATGCAGCACAGACACATCCCACATCACCACATGCAGCACAGACACATCCCACATCACCACATGCAGCACAGACACATCCCACATCACCACATGCAGCACAGACACATCCCACATCACCACATGCAGCACAGACACATCCCACATCACCACATGCATCTCATCCCACCTGCGGCCAGTGCAGCACCGGCACATCCCACCTGAGCCCAGTGCAGGTCGAGGTCAACAGCGAGCTTGATGGCAGCAGCGAGGTGCAGCGAGTGGTTGAACATGGCTAAGGGGTACACACACGGCACCACCAGGGGGGGCACACGGCCGCCCCCACTCCCTCTCCCTCTGCTGCCTATGCTGCTGCTGCTTTCACTGCTGCCGCTACTGTCGTGGGTCGTGTTGGCTGGGATGCTAGCGGCTGTGGTGGCTGTGGCGGCGTGGCGGCGGGCGAAGCGGGCGATGATGGGGTCCAGGATCTCACTGCCGTGCCGAGGGGTGGGATGGGATGGGATGGGGGGAGGGGAAGGGGAGAAGGGAGAGGGGACAATGCAGGACAGGCGTGAGGCTGTTAAAAAGCACATCATAGAATCACATTCAGGGATGGGTCAGCGAGAACAGATGGGTAAGAATTGTTGCTGGTGGTGGCGGTAGTGGTCGTGGTGGCAGTGGCGGTGGCAGTGGGGGAGGGGGCACCTGGCGTTGGTGCGGAAGGCGAGCGTGGACCAGTAGGGCAGGAAGACGACCTCTGCCTCCTCCACTCGCTGCACCCGCTGCACTGCTGCCGTGCCTGGCGGGGAGGGGGGAATGCCACAGCCATTGGAAGGGACACCGTGGAGGGCAGGAGAGCACGGAGGGGAGAGAGAGTGAGGGGCAAGGCGAGCGTGGACCAGTAGGGCAGGAAGATGACTTCCGCGTCCTCCACCCGCTGCACGCGCTGCACTGCCCGTGTGCCTGGCGATGGGGGGGGGGGGGAGATGCCACGGGCAGGAGGGCAAGAGTGGAGGGCAAGGCGAGCGTGGACCAGTACGGCAGGAAGACGACTTCTGCCTCCTCCACTCGCTGCACGCGCTGCACTGCCGGTGTGCCTGGCGGGGAGGGGGGGACGCCACAGCCATTGGAAGGGGCATCGTGGAGGGCAGGAGAGCACGGAGGGGAGAGAGAGTGAGGGGCAAGGCGAGCGTGGACCAGTAGGGCAGGAAGATGACTTCTGCCTCCTCCACCCGCTGCACGCGCTGCACTGCCCGTGTGCCTGGCAGCCCCAGGGAGGCATCATGGACGCGGGGAAGAGACACGGTGGGGAGCAGGGCAGCACGGAGAGGAGAGAATGAGGGGTGGGTGGGCGGGGGGAGGAGATGAGAGAGAGTTAAGTGAGGGGAGACGAGGAGAGAGAATGAGAGCAAGTGTGAGTGCAGTGAGGGGGGTACCTTAGAGGAGGGAGAGAGGGGTACCTGAGAGGAGGGAGAGGGGGGTACCTGAGAGGAGGGAGAGGGGGGTACCTGAGAGGAGGGAGAGGGGGGTACCTGAGAGGAGGGAGAGGGGGGTACCTGAGAGGAGGGAGAGAGTGAGAAAGTACTCTGCCCCATGCTGGCGGTAGTAAGGGTAGTGCGGGTAGCACGGCACGCTCACGCCCACCGGCCCTCCTGCCTCTGGCAGCGCTGCTCCTTCTGCTGTTGCCCCTGATGCTGCTGCTGCTGCCGGCGTCGGTGGTGAGAGTGGCAAGGGGAGGTCTGGCAGGTCCGGCAGGTCCGGCGTGCCGAGGAACGGCAGCAGGTGCGGCGAGAGGGCGGCAGGGGACGCAGCAGGGGGGAGGGGCGAGGCGGAGGCGGAGGGGGAGGTGGGGGAGGGGGAGTGCAGCCAGGAGAGTGGCACGGCGTGGGGGGACTGGAGGGGCACGGTGCATGGGGGGTTGGGCGGGGAGGCGGCGGCCAGGGCCTCTGGTGGCAGCAGTGACTGCACCCCTTCCAGTGGGCGCACACGGGGAAAGGGGATGGGCAGAAGGAAAAGGGGAAGGGGGAAGAGGGATGGGGCATGGAAGAAGCAAGAGAGAAGAGGAAGCGGGTGGGAGCAGAGATGCGAGCGGCGAGGAAGGAGGGCAGAGGGCGACGTGCGGCACAGGCATGGGGGGCTTGGCACCTGCGGCAGGGGGGTGACTCATCCGCGGTGCTCAGGCAGGGGAGGCGTTACAGCCAGGGGAGTCACGAGGGGCGCGAGTCACCTGCGCGAGGGGTATGAGGTCGACGTTGTACGGCGCCGGCAGCAGCACCACATACACCCTCAGCGGCCGCTCCGCCTCGCTGCTCCCCGCGCCCCCTCCGCACTCCCCGTCTCTCGCGCCCGCACACGCGCCACCTTCCGGCGACTGCGGACGAATTCGAGCGCGCAGCAGCGACGCCGTCAGCAGCAGGAGGAGCAGCGCGACGCACGACGCGGGGATGGAGCGCCGCAACCACGCGCGCGACGCTGACGTGGAACTTCCGCCACGCGCCGCGCGAGAAGGCGCGTAGGATCCGGCAGGGTGGTTGGAGGCAGTGGGCGTGGATCGCGGAGCAAGGCGGAGGAGAGAGGGCGCCATGGCTGCCGCTGGGGGGACGATACGGACAGCATTACTGTGCGACTAGTCTGCGAGGCATGGGTGCAGTGGGGCGAGAAATACGATATTTCTGGCCGGCAGAGACGAGGTGGAAAGGTTCGCGAGTGGGTGTGTTGGCGCGCAGTGCTGGAGCAGGTGTGGACGAGGTGGTGCTGGTGACAAGCCGGCTGGTGGCGGTGCAACGGGAAAGCAATTGACACACGAGAAAATGGTTGCTGGGTGGTCTTGTTGCCTGAGCAAATAAAAGCAGTAGGTGATATTAGACTTGCAGAAGATCCTGCTGGAGACACAGGGGCAAGGAATGCATGGCAAGATCCTATCCTGGACATTCTGATGAAGTGCACACGAGCTGCAAATTACCATGGGGCACACAAGTCCATCCAAGCATTCGAGCATTTATGTACTAACAACCTTTCATTAACTTTATGACTCAATGTAATCAGATAGTTATTACTGTTTCGGGGATGGAGTGAGAGCGACATGTCCCCCAACACTCTTGCAAAAGCGATGGAGCCAGCACTACATTCGTCGTGGCTCGGATTCCTCGCCAGCTGGGCGTGCGCTGTTGGCAAGTCCAGGCTGGCTGCCACGCAGACCTGACGTGGCACACCTTGGGTTTGGATTGCCTCGGGAGTAGCTTTTCCAGCGAAGCTCGAAGCTCGATGCTTATCCTCGGCACTGGGATCTTCGCGGAGTTCTGTGACTGGTCTGTGTTCAAGGCTTCATTTCACGCAGCACAACACCTGCTACTCCAACATTTGCTGGTGATCATTTCCTGAGAATCACGAGCGTCCGAAGCATGGCTCCCGCGACAGGAATCGCCTGCTCGCACGCAGTGTCGCTACGTCTGGGCTCGTCCGTAGCCGCCTCGTCGTCGTCGTCTTTCTGCACCGGCGAGCCTCGCCAAACCGCTCGCATCGCGTCACGTAGAAACCGAGGGCATGGCGCCGCTAGGAAAGGTCGTCTGGTGGCCATGGCTGGTAGACAAGATGACTCAGGAAGCAATAAGGACGTGGCGGGAGCGGGAATGACGTGGGTGAGCCCGGATTGGCTGACGTCATTGTTCGAGAAGCTTCGCGGCCCCGACGACTCGGGCATTCCCGTGGCGGACGCGAAGCTGGACGACGTGAAGGACCTGCTGGGCGGCGCGCTCTTCCTGCCGCTCTTCAAGTGGATGCTCGAGTCGGGGCCCGTCTACCGGTCAGTCGCATGAATGGGTCGTTTGCGACCGGATGTGACCCGTTTCTGGTGCCTGAGCGACCATGGCGTGAATGGTGGTGCACGCGATGAACGGTTATGGCCTTGTTGCCCGCTTGCGCGTCTCAGAAACCAATAGACGATTAGGGGAACGCTGCGATGTAAGAATGCTGGGATGTAAGAATGCTGGGATGAGAGAATCCAATATTGTCAGGAAGAATTCAACGTGATCAGGCGAGTCACATGTCGTCAGAGAGAAAGAGAAAGCCTTCTGTTGTCAGAGAGACAAGCGCGGGTCCCCCAACTTGCTGTGAAGGCCGCGCGGCCTGCCAACGATGCTCGCGTCAATTTCTCACAATCCCCCCGCGCAGGCTGGCGGCGGGGCCGCGCAACTTCGTGATAATCGGCGAGCCGGAGGCGGCGAAGCACGTGCTGCGGGGGTACGGCGCGATATACGCCAAGGGGCTGGTGGCGGAGGTGGCGGAGTTCCTCTTCGGCTCGGGCTTCGCCATCGCCGAGGGCGACCTCTGGACTGTACGCGCTCTCTTCCTTAATCCCCACCCTGCGCTCGCTGCCTTGTTCCTTTGCCCCGCTCGGGCTTCGCCATCGCGGTCGACCTCTGGACCGTACGCGCTCGCGCTCGCTCTCTCTCGCTCTCTCTCTGCCTCAACCCGCACCCCGCGCTCGCTGCCTTGGACCCTTCGCCCCGCTCTCTGCCTCCTCGTTCGCGCTCTCCTTCCCTTGCGCCGTGACTCGCGCGCTTAGGCTGCGTAGAAACTCTTGGACATGCACCCACACCCAACACGTGGTATGTGGTGCGTGCAGGCGCGGCGGCGCGCGGTGGGCCCGTCGCTGCACAGGCGGTACCTGGAGACGATGGTGGCGACGGTGTTCGCCGCATTACTTGCTGCGTTGGACCCTTCGTTCCGTGCATTCACGTAGAAACTCTTGCCCGTGCACCCACACTCTACAGGCGCGGCGGCGCGCGGTGGGCCCGTCGCTGCACCGGCGGTACCTGGAGACGATGGTGGCGACGGTGTTCGCGAGCAGCACGCAGCACCTCGTCGACAAGCTGCACTCGATGCCCTGGACTTTCCCCCCGTTCTTGCCCGTGCGCCCACACTCAACAGGCGCGGCGGCGCGCAGTGGGCCCATCGCTGCACCGGCGGTACCTGGAGACGATGGTGGCGACGGTGTTCGCTAGCAGCACGCAGCACCTCGTCGACAAGCTGCGCGGGACCGCGGCGCGCGGCGAGGAGGTGAACATGGAGGCGATGTTTTCGCAGCTGACGCTGGACGTGATCGGACTGGCCGTGTTCAACTTCCAGTTCGACGCGCTCTCCACCGACTCCCCGCTCATCCAGGCCGTCTACACCGCGCTCAAGGAAACCGAGTCGCGCTCCACCGACATCCTCCCCTACTGGCAGGTGCGCGCGCGCAATCTGCGATGCTGGCCGGCAGGTGCGGCTGTTGGTGATGTGGAGACGTGGGTACACAGGTTAGTGATGAACTGCCGACAGTACTTAGACAGCGGGTATAAGGTGCAGCGGCTAAATGGCAGGGATGGTGGGGACTGGAGGTCGAAATGAACTGTGTATCAAGTAACGCACGAGACGGTTTGAGTAGTGAGAGCCACTGGAAACATTCTTACAAAGTTGCGGACATCGTCTCCCCCCACCCCACCCTCCGCCCCTATCCCCCATGCAGGTCCCATTGCTGTGCGCCTTCGTGCCGCCCGCGGCAGCACAAGGCAGCGGAGGCGGTGAGGGTGATACGGTCGACGGTGGAGCAGCTGGTGGCGCAGAGCAAACGCATTGTGGAGGCGGAGAACGAGCACAGGGGCGACGACGAGGAGCTCCCCTTCCCTGGCCCAGTAACAGCCCTCTATCAACCCACTCCCCGCCACCCCCTTCCCTCCTTCCCGTTGCCCCCCCCCCCCCTCTATCTCCCGTGCAGGTGCCCTTGCTGTGCGCCATCGTGCCGCGGCAGCGCAAGGCGGCGGAGGCGGTGAGGGTGATCCGCACGACGGTGGAAGATTTGGTGGCGCAGTGCAAGCGCATCGTGGAGGAGGAGAACGAGCGCAGAGGGGACGACGAGGAGTACGTCAACGAGAGCGACCCCTCCATCCTGCGCTTCCTGCTCGCCTCCCGGGAAGAGGTCAGCTCCTGTGCCCTGTTGGTCCTTTGAGGCGTCTCAAAAGGGACGACGAGGAGTACGTCAACGAGAGCGGCCCCTCCATCCTGCGCTTCCTCCTCGCCTCCCGTGAAGAGGTGCGCTCTTGTGCAACGTCCCTCCCGTGCCCCCCCTCTGCTTCTCCTCTCTGCTCCTAGCCGTCTCCGCTGCTCACCGGTGTGCGCTGCCACACCCCATGTGCTCCACGTGCTCCACACACCCTATAATCATCTTCCATGCCTCCCTTTCCCCCGCCCCTTCCCTGCATGCATGTGGGGCGAGCAGGTGTCGAGTGTGCAGCTACGGGACGACCTGCTGTCCATGCTGGTGGCGGGGCATGAGACCACCGGCTCCGTGCTCACATGGACCGTCTACCTCCTCGCCCAGGCACGCCCACCCTCCCCCTCCACTTCCACTTCCACACGCCCCTTTCTCTTCACGCGCATTCGAGGTGACCTTTGAGTCGACTCAAAAGTCACCATGAGACCACTGGCTCCGTGCTCACATGGACCGTCTACCTCCTCGCCCAGGCACGCCCACCCTCCCACACTCCCCACGCCCCCACGTCTCCTTAGCTATAAGCACATTCACCATTTTTCCATGCACTCACCCCCGCCTTAACTC